TTGGTTTTATTATGTTTTATTTTTATTATTTTATTATTTCCATTCTACGTGACTTTATCGAAAGAACCAAGAAGATGAATCCCTGCAGTCACGAAAGCTTTAAATCGAAAAATGAAAACCCTATTATTACATGTATCAGTTTACCGAAACAGTAGACCGTTAGTCAACAATAATTTGTTCGATATTTGAAGGATGGTGGTAATTCTTTAACATCCATACATTTGAAATCAGGTTGAATGTGGCTTTGCCCAGAACCGGTTAAGATAACGTAACTTGTCTTGGAAAGTCCTGCAGTGTTTATATTTAACTGTGGCGACACTGCTGACCATGATAAGTATGAAAAAATAAGAATTAGTTTTACCCTTTCTGGCAATAAAACAGGTTTATATGTGGTGCTTGGACATCTTAACACCTGCCTTATTGCCAGAAAGGGTAAAACTTACTTGTGTTTTCGTACTGGCAAAAAGCTCCCATTTTTCATGCGAACGAAGTTTGTTTGCTACGCGGATTATCCCGTTTAGCCAGTTTCTCGTGTATTTTACAAGGAGTGTGACAATCACATGCTGCTTTCTGTCACAATCGTACAATTTATTACAAATAAACCCGCCAAGCAAGTGAAGACATGAAATGGCCTTAGAATGGCCGACCTTACGTTTCATAACAATATTGTAATGTAATAACTTTGTAATACAGTGATCATGAGCGTCGCTTTGGAGAATGTAACCAATTAGATGCGCAGATAATCGTCTCCTTCCTATTGAGTGGCGGTCTGTGGTTGTGTAGAACGATATCAGAGATGTTAAACAACACATGTTACGTAGGTGTCATTGATGCGATATTGTTTTTTTTATAGAGAAGTTACAGAGACATGTAGATGTTTTATATATATAGCAGACTGTCATCAGCCATGATCAGTCCACTGCTAGATCAAAGCCTTCCAGCCACCCTATCGTGTTTTGTAGTTTGTTGTTGTTGTAAAATTCTCATCCCCGTGCCTCGACTGGGCATCTGTAAAAACGAGCTTTATAGCTCATCGGATTCCTCCAGGACACAACGATTATGCTGCCGAACAATCCACCCAGGAGTTGGAAGCGTGCCGACGATGTTGCTGCATCACCCCACGCTTTGTGCGGTGCCTGTGGCCACGGCGCGACTGTTGCGCCCCCTCGTGGCACGGGGCGGGTTCGCGTGAAGTCTTTTGCCTGCAGAAGACGAAACACGGCCACTCAGAACAGGTTTACAGATGAACAGCGATTATCCTGCTGCTTCCAACATTATCCGGCTGCGGTCCCAAACCAAACCGGCAAACCCGCTCCAAAGGCGATCTTCACCACGTGCATGATACATATAGATATTCAGGGTGCTTCAAAAAAATGTTGACACCCACCAACTGGTTAATCCCCTTTCACCAACCTGCTTTGAACCGCGTAATGAAGTACACTGCGGTCAACCGACCACCCCAGACCAACATGGCATGGGGGGGGGGGGGAGGCCTTAATCCACCAATGAATTAGCATTATCGTTATTATACTTCTCCAATGTCTGGTATGTGAGCCTCACACGACAATGAGATCAGCGAAATTCGTAGCAACTTGTAATTGCAAGGTGCTTCAACATTTTTTTAACACTTCTGAGAATTTGCAACAATACCACAAGCAATGTGCCTCTGGGCTCTAGAGACCACGTGGAGAAGATTCCATGAATGTGTTCACAATGATGGCGAACAAGTGGACTTTTGAAACTGTTAACATTACATTTGCTATGTTAGTGTATTATGCGTTCTTTCCATTAAAAACGATAGTCCCATATAAGTGTTAACATTTTTTTGAAGTAGCCTGTAGTTAGTACATTATACACTCCATACATACGAGTTAAACGATGACAATAATGCACGTATGTACATTATTTTGTGACTGATAACCGCGGTAATACAAATATAAAATATACACACTGCGATCCGGCGTTGTGTCGTTCGGAGTTCCACCGAAGCACCGCTCTCAAAGGATGCATCGGTCCGGCGATCGTCAAACACCGTCGGTTATAATTTAGATTTGAAGTTTTCGTGACTGCAGGGATCTATACTCCTTGGTTCTGTCGGTAAAGTCACGTAGCTATAAACTAAATTAAATCACGACGTTTCGATTGCAACACAAGCAATCGTCATCAGGTGGGAAAACCACAAAAATAAAAAAATGTCCCACTTAAGCAAACAATTTTCTTGCTGTGGTTTTCCCACCTGATGATGATTGCTTGTGTTGCAATAGAAACGTCGTGATTTTATTTATTTGATATCTACGTGATTTTACCGCAAGATCCAAATAGTACCGTCGGTTGTATTGAATCAAAGAACGCAGTGGTGCCACTTGCATCACAACATGCAGGACCTTCGAGATTGGAGTGGTCGGCACGGTACGTGTAAGTACTTTTTACAGGAGGATATTTATTTTTGTCTATTTGTATGTTTATGACAATTTAAAATAGTAAACAAATATAAAACACAAAAAACTATGTCATACAATAATGTTCAAAAATAAGCTATTTTTGAACATTTAATCGATTATTTGGCTGTCATGAATGTCCCCGTGCTAAGCCACTTTGTTGAGCTATCATTTGTGATTGCCAGGTCGCTTCTGGAAAATAAGTGAATAGCTCGGTCGGCATTGCCTGCTTAAAATAAAAAAAAGCATTTTTAGTTTTATTTGTATATTTTTAAGCGAGTTTCTGCCTTTTCTATTCGATACATTGCACACCCATCGTGTATTTTTGTATTATTGCTGTAACATTGTGACTCCCTGTGCCCTTACTCGACATGCGTGAAAAAGCGCTTTATAGCTCATCGGATTCCCCCCGCGGTATAAACACCGATTCGCATTCCCATCGCGCGGCCCGTCCGCTACTTGGACAGCGACCCCGTGGCGGCAGTCGCAAGAGTTCAAGTTCAAGTTCATTTATTAGGTATAGCCCTGTGAGCCATTCAGCTCTTGAATCGGGTGCAACCGCAACAAACAAAAAACAAAAACATGAACAAAAAACATCTTAAAGTGAATATGTGACTAAGTGCAAACAGAAAATCCAAGAAAAGACAGCAAAAATATTGCAGAAAAAACACCGTACACCAACGCTGTGTGCAAAAATCCCAGTGGGATGCAAGTCAAACAACAACAACAACCACAAGACAACTTAGATTAAGGCCATCAGTCTAACTCTGTACTACAACAAACAAACATGGCTAAACCAATACACTTTTCGAAATCACCAAAATAAAGCCATGAAAGCAATGAAAAAGCAATCATAGGAACTGTGACGGAATTTTCACAATAAATGGCATAAACAACATGTACTACCAAAACCCTGCAGCCATAGCTGGCTGCATGAGTCACCCCACAACAGCAGGAGCATCAATCGGAGTATTGTAAATTTTCAATGCACCTTTAAGATCAGCACACTAAATCAAAACACAGGTCATACTTTGTAGCGATCATCCGGAGCGAAACATTTTATTTTAGGTCACTGAATAGCACTGGCAGCTAGGGGTGTACAACTCCTCTAAAGCAGTTTTGAGTGAAGATCTCATAGGTAGTGACTCAAGTTTCAATTTATTTGCAACAGCATTCCAGACCCTGGGGGCATCAATAGCAAAGGCCCTTCCTCCAGTATATGTACGGCAATAGGGAATATTAAGCTGGTAAATGAGTGTAGACCTTAGGTCAAATTTGTTCTTTGAAACAGAGACGAGATCCAGCAGGTAATCTGCAGATTTTTTGCAAGTACATCATGAATAAATAAGATCTGGTGCACAAGCCGTCGAACATTCAGAGATGTTAAGTTTGACCCAATGTAGAGATCACAGTGGTGAGTCCTATATGGGCAGTTCAATGCAAATCTTAAGGCCGAGTGATAAATTGAGTCAAGCTTCTTCAGTACAGTACTTGGGGCTGATTTATACACAATGTCACAGTAATCAAGTAGAGGCAGTATGGTAGCTTTAATCAATTCAAAACGGAACATAGGGGGGAAGCAGTGCTTGTGTCGATATAGAAAACCAATTTTAATTTTTGTCTTTTTCCCAATATAATCAATGTGATCTTCAAAATTCAGTTTTGAATCCAGGATGACCCCAAGATACTTATAGATCTTGACTTGCTCTATTTGACCATCGAGCGCCGCCGTCACGTCTCACACGCGCCGAGTGAAAGGAAGAAACTGAAGATTAACCCCCCAAAAGACTCTATCGGGAGTGTTACATCCCAATCATCGCACCCTTGCAGCGAAAACTTCCGAATCAGAATGTGTTCGTGTGTCCTGGAGGAATCCGATGAGCTGTAAAGCTCTTTTTTCACAGACGTCAAAGTCAGAAAGTTTCAACAAGAAACTATATATCTTTTTAAAAAAACACGATATGAGTGCAAAGTATAGGAAAGGTAAACAAATTGCTCAAACGAAGTAAACTAAAACTAAACTTTGTTTTTACTTGGGCAGGAACCCTCCTTGGACAAGAGCCACGAGCGAATCGAAACGTCGATCCCAAAACGCGATTCGATTCGGGGAGGAGGGGGGTTGACCTAACCAACATGGCTGCCGGACGTCCGGCCCCCACCCCCCACCACCCACCCCCCACCCCCACGCATTCTTTGGGTCTTTCGGTAAAGTCACGTGGAACAAAAACATACAACAAATACATCGTTTCGATCGCAACACAAGCAGTCACCATCATTTTTTTTCTCCTGATGACGATTGCTTGTCTTGCGATGGAAACGTCTTAGTTTTTTGTAAAAAAAAATATTGTTCTCCGTGACTTTACCTTAAGACCCAAATACTGTAATATGAATTCCTGCTGTCACGAGAGCTTTAAGTGAAGACCCACCCACGTGTTGTCAGAAGGATGCGCGTCATTTCCGGCACGGCCCACGTGATCCAAGCGTCGAGTTCCCACGTGACTCGCCGCTCGCCTCTTCACGTGACCGGCGCCCACGTGACTCGCGCAGCGTGGTGCGAAGGACGCGGCCCAGCGGTGGTGGCGGCTGCTCACACGGGGACACACACAGAGACACGGGGACACACAGAGAGACACACACACAGAGACACACGGGGACACACACAGAGAGAGAGAGACACGGGGACACACACAGAGACACACGGGGACACACAGAGAGACACACACACACACAGACACACGGGGACACAGAGAGAGAGAGAGACACGGGGAGACACACAGAGACACACACACAGAGAGAGAGACACGGGGAGACACAGAGACACGGGGACACACGCAGAGACACACACAGAGACACACACAGAGAGACACACACAGAGACACGGGGACACACACAGAGACGGGGACACACACAGAGACACACGGGGACACACACAGAGACACACGGGGACACACACAGAGACACACGGGGACACACACAGAGACACACGGGGACACACACAGAGACACACAGGGACACACAGAGAGAGACACGGGGAGACACGCAGAGACACAGAGAGAGAGAGACACGGGGAGACACAGAGACACGGGGACACACACACAGAGAGAGAGACACGGGGAGACGAAGACACGGAGACAAAGACACACGGGGAGACAGAGACACAGAGAGAGACACACGCGGACACGGGGATACACAGAGACACCCGGGGCCAGACGGAGACGGACACAGCCGCCCAGACTCGCCCAGCTGTGTGAGACGGGCGAGACCGAGACGGGGACACGCGCAGGGGAAGTGCGGCAGCGGCGCGGGGACAGAGACCCCGGGGAGCGCTCCGAGCTGCGGGGAGAGCTGCTCACTCGGCGGGGACCGGAGCGAGGGTGAGGAGGGTGAGTGTGAGGAGGAGGGTGAGGGTGAGGAAGGGGAGAGCCACGGTGAGGAGGGGGAGAGCCGGGGTGAGGGTGAGGAGACGGAGGGGAACCACCCCCGGGGCGAGGAGAGCCCGTGGGGGGGGGACCTGGGTCGGGGTGAAGCCGCCCGAGTTTCCCCGCGGGTCCCCGCGGGGGCTGCAGGTCGGGGCAGGAAGTTCGATTTTGTTGATGTCAGCGGACTTTGTTGGGCTCAATATCATTGGCGCCCTTTGACGGCACAGATCTGATAGTTGTGTAGATGATCTTAGTTACAATCGTGTTGTTCTGTTTAATATGTCGCCACGCAAACAGGCGGAGGTGTTGCTCGTTCTGCCCCCCGGGGGTTGACGGCTCACGGGGGGATCAGCTGGTGGCGGCTCACGGGGCCAGCCTCGCCGTGGGATCCGTGGTGGCACCCACAAGCCGAGATGAGAACTTAAACCAAACGTTACATGTCAACTTGTATTTTAGTGAGCAATCATTAGAAGGATGTTATTAACCAGGTAAAACCATCACTGCTTTGTAGTGAATTTTGATTTAAAGCTTTCGTGACTGCAGGGATTCATATTCTTTGTTGTTTGTGTTGCAGTCGAAACGTCGTGAGAATTGTATTGTTTTATATTTTGTATTATTTTATTGTTTCCCTTCTACGTGACTTTACCGAAAGAACCAAGAATATGCTTTGTAGTGGGTGTCGTCTATCATATCTGCCGGGCATTTTCCCGCATATACCCCACAGAAATAGCGTTTTGTGTAAAACTAATTTCAGATAGCCCGCACCTCCATATTCCCCGCATGCATTCATATCTTTCTTACCACGGCAACTCTCCCACTTAAACAAAATTTTCTTGCTGTGGGTTTCCCACCTGATGATGATTGCTTGTGTTGCAATCGAAACGTCGTGATTTATGTATTTTATTTGCTACCTACGTGACTTTACAGAAAGAACCAAAGAGTGAGTTTGTATGTTAGCGTAGCAGGAAAAATGCCCCATTGAGCTATGTAGTTATTTTTTCAGAAGCGACCTGTTACAAATTATATCTCGACGAAGCCGCTTTTATCATCATCACCATCAAGTGGCAATGTATAGCAGAGGCCAAATGCTCTAAACGCATGATTCTAAATAAATAGGCGTCGGGGTCTGGATCCAAACCAAGTCTTCCTGCATACCCTCTCGCCCTGATCTTGGGGGTCGGAGGCATCGGTAATGTAGTGTAAACTTAATTTTAGGTACTATTTTTTTTGTTTTACAAAAGAACGGGTTAGATTTGTCGACGATCTCGGTACTAACTCAAACAATTGTAACTCGGAATAACGCCAAATATCCTAACGCGTAGGCTGCACGGGAATGTGCTCCTGGTCTCTGATGCTTGTTTTTAAATGGGAGCATGCATCGAGTCTTTGGTCTCAATTGTGGTTGGGTTGTAGTGGGCAGCAGTACAGGAAACTCGGTTGTACTGTAACTCTATGCTTCTCCTTTTTGCTCCCCACCTTCAGCAGCCCGCACTGACCATCGTGGTATCGATCTTCTATATAAGGAGTTAATCTGTATATCTCGAACACCTCAAGGTAGAAAGCTGAAATTTGGTACACAGGTAGTTTTTAGGACACAAACAACAGGAGAAAACATGGGATTTTTTTATTTTAAGGCCCCTAAATCTGGATTTTAAGTTTCCCATAAACATGTTTGTGTGAGGTTTCCTTCAGAACCCGTTCAAAATATAAGATTACGTTTTTTGTTTTGATAAAGCGTTAAACAGCAAGTAAAATAAAAGCGAGCCATTGTTCTATCTTTTATTGTTTTTGAGATATTTCGGATTCTAGTGGTTGTGAACGCTGCACCGTGTCCCACTGTCCAGTCTTCAGTTGCATGAAACGACTCGAGTGCAACATTTATTTATGTTGCTCGCGTTTAAAGCCGTTTCGGTTTCGGGGCCATATCTTTCGTGGAGTTTAGTACGACTGGCTATTTGCGCTGTTTTATTTAATTTAACGATGCGAGCAGGATTAACGTATGCATTATGTATTCGGCACGTTTATTATTGAGGCATCGACAAAGGGATGTACATTATATTTCAGTCTTCACGACCAAAAAAAGTAAGACATACGCAATGTGATAGGGTAAGCCAATGGTGGGTAATGGATTTCGCCAGTAAGTGGAGATTTATTCCCTAAAGCCACAAAGAATCCTCCACGGATTTAATGGGATACATTCAATGCCCATCTGGCTCCTTAAAAAAAAATGACAGTACAGTACTCTGATAGCAAAGATTATAATCAGCACTGACGAGCGTGGTGAAGTTATTATCAAACAACCCCAGTCACCATTGAGGCATAAGGAGGCCTTAATGATGCAGCAGTTTATTGACAATGGGCTGTCAGCTATTATTACTTGATTACAGAAATATAAGCCTCAAGGTATTTTGTATTAATACATGTTGGATTTAAGATTTACTTGCGCCATTCCTAAAACGGCCATCATTTTTCTTAGTTGTAAGCATTGCGCTCCTATCATTAACACGCTCTCGTATCTCGCTTGTGGGATGACGATGATGGTTCTTTTTATTTTCATGATCTCAATGCCAATATTCCATGTTACTGCTATGAAGTCAGGTCATCCGCTTTCAAATGAAATGGAAGTTTCTGAAATTCAGTTTATGTTAAGTTTACCTTTTTTTGTAGAGATATATTCTAATTTATAATACCCAAGTGCCATTATTTAGCATATTGCTAATTGATGGTATGGTTTACTCATTATACCTCTACACAATATAACAATTCACTCATTAAGCCTTAATGTATTATTAAGGATTAAGACTTTTTAATCATTTAATTGCCATTTAAACTCTGATTCCATTTTTATTATTTTCCAGCAGTAGCTGCTGGGTAAAAGCCAATTTGTGTCTGTATGTAGCTTCACTTTAATCGGCTAATGCAAAACAAATATCCACCAATGACAAGCACATTGTGTCGAGTCAACTATAACACAAATTGACGTCAATCAGTGCTCGCCAACAGAATTAGCATAATTTATGTATAACTTTCGAAGAAGAAAAATGTAAAATAATGTCCAGTTGATTGCCTCTTATCCACGACTGTATTCTGAAGTTCCTAATATCCGTGGGGTCTGCACAGTTTGCATTGTGTTCCGTTATTTGGGGATTGACATCGATGTTCGTTCGTTTGATTTTGAGAATTCTGGGAAATGCGCCAGATTGGCGCCTGTATTCATCCTGTGGCATCCATGGGAGGATTTTTCTGTGGATATTGGAAATAAGTCTGCTTACTCAGGAATTTCAATGTTCCCCACACTCACCTTGAGTAGTGGAGTTGTATTTCACTTTCGATAGACTGACCAATAGAATTGTTGTGAGAGAGGTTTATGTAGGTTGTTATAAAATGGAATGAGCGATTCTTTGTCAATCCGCTGCTGGATGAAGGCCTCCCTAAGCTGTGTGATAGTCATGCGGTTGTTTGACCATTAATTAAGCACTCTAAAATATTTGTATTCCACTTTGTTCTGAATGAAGAGTTTAAATTTAATATAAAAAAATATGTTTTGACTTTCTTCCTTGGCAGTGTGTTTTTCACATGGACTGTATTTTATATCATTTTTAATTAAACTACAGTAAAGACCAATTTGTGCCTGTCCTTTGACATGTTGTATATATTTATAGAGTAACTCTTATTTACATATAAAGGCGAAACCTTTATATCGTATTCATTAACTTGCATTCTCTTTGGTTCCCCCCTCCCGATCCCATTCTCTTTTGCTAGGTTCAAACACCGAACATAATATGGAAGCATCATCGCTGGCTGTCTGAAAGATGCTGACGTCTTCTCATGTCACCATGGAGGAATTATTGACAGAAACACAAAGGGGACTTGGAATAGAGTGTGCCCAGCTGGCAGTGGGGGAAGGGAGCCGGATAACTGCGTTGGTGCCAGACGATTGGATCTCGAGCCTGAGCGAAGGGGGTACGCTACCGCCCTCTTGTCCCAAGCCTGATGGGCTGACGGCCTCAGAGGTCAGTACCCTTCTGCAGAAGTCTGTGCACAGGCTCCCGGATGGTTGGACCAAAGTGTCTATACAAGTGGTTGTCAAGAGCTGTCTCGATTACAGAATATCCTGCATCAGGTGTGTCAAGAACTGCTTCTCAGGATTTGATGGCAAATCCCCTCCAGAATCTTTCCTGCATTTCATGCAAGGCGTCTGTCATGATAACTTCAGGAATCAGTGGACAAAAGCCTTCGAGAAGTACGCCGCTCCCTACCGCTCTGCCACGGAAAGCAAAAAGCCACGAGCCGCTCTGACGGCAATCAAGCACGCACTCCAAGAGCTCCATGGCTTTAGTTGTGTTCCTGTAACTTCTGAAAGCAATTACTCGGTTCTGTGTATTAAAGCTGCTCACATGCACACCTGCCCACCACAGGGCATTAGCGTGCTGAAAGCCAAAGCCCTGGTCGAAACTTCTGACCGTCTCTTTGTTATCAGTTCATTTCTAGAGCACAGCCTTCATAGCGTGGTTACATTCAGCCCGGCGAAGCTTGCCAACAGTCACGCCAAGGTGCTGTTTGTGATATACCAGGTTCTGCAGGCCATGGCACTCTGCCACAGTAGAGGCCTGACGTGCGGCGCCCTTTCCCTGCACGATCTTGCCATTGATGAAAGGCTGCGAGTGCAGTTGAACCCACGGTTACCCGACTACGAGAAATGCAAATCTGGGCATCGCAAAAATGAATCAGGAGAAATGCCGGAGTCTGTAACGGAGGAGGTCGTTGGGCACAAAGAGTCAGAAAGTATGGAGGAACAAAGACTCTGTGAGTCATGTAAGAAATGGTTAGCTACTGCTGTCACAGACTGGGTCCACGGGAAGAAGAGCAACTTTAGCTATCTCATGGAGCTGAATCGCCTTGCTGGGCGCAGACTGGGAGACCCAAACTACCACCCTGTGCTTCCGTGGGTGGTGGATTTCACCGTGCCGTTTGGAAAACTACGCGACATGACCAAATCTAAATTTCGGCTGAACAAAGGCGATGGCCAACTGGACTTTACCTACCAGATGAACAAGGAAGCTCCCGTTACCATGGGAGGAGGGCACATGGAGCACCTTCACGTCCCCCATCACATTACCGACGTCCTGTCTGACATCACGTATTACGTGTACAAAGCCAGGCGGACACCCAGGGATGTCTTGTGCAGACACGTGAGGTCAAAATGGGAGCCCAACGAGTATCCGGCCAGCATGGATCGCCTGCAGAGTTGGACACCGGACGAGTGCATCCCAGAGTTTTACACCGACCCAGACATTTTCCGCTCGATCCACGCGGACATGCCGGACCTAGAGATCCCGGCCTGGTGTGACTCGTACAATGACTTTATTGAGAAGCACCGGCGACTCCTGGAGAGTCCCAAGGTTTCGGAGAACCTCCACCACTGGGTCGACCTCACATTTGGCTACAAACTATCAGGAAAAGAGGCAATCAAAGCCAAAAACGTTTGTCTTCACTTGGTGGACAACCACACCCATCTAGCAAACTTTGGTGTCGTTCAACTCTTTGACTTCCCGCACCCTCAAAGAATGAGCCCTCGTGGTGAGTCCATTCAGGATCCACCGTACATTACGCAGTCACACTCATATGCTGGCCATGTCGTTAAGGACGCTGTAATTATTGAAAGCCATCAAATTCCTGACTTGGACGTCCCTGATGTTGGAATTGAAGGCTTGGACTGTAAAAGTGACTTCTTTGCTGCAACATCTTCCGCACTTCCAGATGAGGACGACGGCAGTCTGGAACATGCAGCGGAGGCACTGGATGCTCTGGAAGACGCAAAACGCACCGATAGTCGAGCGGCCATCTCATCCATGGCGACACCGAGCAGCAGCAGCAGCGTCTCTCTACTGCAGCTGGAACCAATGTTTATGGGACTCATGAGCACTTGGAAAGTAAAACCGCAGCTCTCTGAAGGTCAGGAGCTCAGCAGTGCAAAGATAATTCTACCAGAAGATTTTAATCCACTCCAGAATTTGGAGAGGTTGGAGGCATTCTATAAATTCACAAGCGCCACGGGACATTGTCAGCTTGAAAGGACAGAGGTGTCACAAAATGCTTCAGACATTGCCTTCCCTGATTTGCTGCAAAGGGACATGCAGGCGTTGGGTGTGCTGATTGCAGAAATATTTTTCGCCCCCAAACTTAGAACGTTGACGGTGGAAGCAACTCTTGTGGATCGGTTCAAAGCGGTGAGGAAACTCTGCAAGTCTCACAAGAATGCTCTACCACTTCCATTGCAGCATGCTGTGGAGGTCTTACTGCAGTTGGACAAGGATATTTTTGTGGAGGATGTTGGGCAGGGCGTGTGCAGCGCTGGAAGCCTTTTCAATTACCCCATGATTCAGTCGGGTCTGCCGCCACCATCGGCGTTGCAGCTCATCAGCCCTCACGCGGACATCATTGCATTCCCCGCGTATTTTCCGGACCTGTACGGTTTCGTCGTGCGCTTTTACAGGGTGACTGAGAGCGGCGATCAGAGCGCCCTGAGGGAATTTATCGTGGAGCTCTCCGAGGACCTTCCAAAACTCCTCGGTAACCTCACGTCGGAGGGAATGGAGATTCTCCTGCCGTTCCTGCTGTCACTCATGTCTGACAAGGTTGTGGCTGTGCGAGCGATTCAGCACCTCTTTGAGTCGGTGGCCAAGGCGCTGGGGCAGCGGAATGCCAACAGGTTCCTGCTGAAGCCTCTCATCGGCGTGTACGAGAGCGACTGGTCGGGCCAGGAGCGGCGCAGCATGTACGAGGAGGCGTTTGTGCTCAACCTCATCGCCTGCCTGGGCCTGCCGCAGTTCCTACACTCGATCCTGAGCCACATTGTCCACGTGGTGGCCGGCTTCGAGAGCAAGGTCTGCGCCGAGGACGAGGACGCCACCGCTGCCGCTGCTGCCGCGGGCAGCCCTGCACGCCAGGTGTGTGGCGGCGCTCGTGCACGATGCCGCGCGGCCTCCGCCACTGGCTGTTTGTTTCTGTGCGTGTACACTTGCGCTGCCTCTGTTTGTCGATCCGATATTATAAGAGGCCACTGGTGCTATGGCACTTTTAAATCATCTTGGATTGAACACTCGTTTCTTAGTCCGGTTGGCTACGTACGGTGCCAAACAAGTTCATACAATCTGCTGCCGGACAAGAGCCTCTTCACGCTTTTGGGTCGTCGGTGGGGGGGGGGGGTGTTATTTGACCATGATTTACCACCGCTGGTCAATGTGGGTTGGTGGAGGCAGGGAGCACAGGCATGGGGGGGAGCATAGTATAGTACAACAATAGATTTTGCTGCCCACATATTCGTACCGTGTCTGTACGCAGTATATCCTTTGCCGGTGACTTGTTTACATACCATATGTTCACAAGAATGAAGTTAACCTTGTGTTGTATAATTTCAGGTATTCGCATGAAAAAACACACAACACAGAGCCGTGTTGTATTTTTTTTCTATCGCATGAATACTTTCTTTTGACTTCCGTTTACATCCTCTTCTTAGGAATTCCCGAGACTAAATATTTGGCCGTATACAGTACCAAAGGAAATTCCATCTCATTGAAGTTTACGTAGAAAGCATACCCTCTCCGTTTTATTCAGCTCCTCAAATCAAATTGTAAGCCTACGTTTCTGAGAAATGTCACCCACTCCTCCAGTGGTATCATACGGTGTGCTTAAACACTTTTTTTAACACTTATATAGGAATTTCGTTTTTAATGTATGAAGAACGGATAATACACTGTAACATGATCACAAATGTATGTTAATACCTCCAAAAAGTCAGTCTGCACTTGTTCACCATCATTGTCAACACGTGCCTGGAATCTTCTCCAGGTGGTCTCCAGAACCGGATGCACATTTCTTGTGGTATTGTTGCAAATTCTCAGTTGGTGTTATAAAATGTTGATGCACCTTGCAATTACAAGTTGCTACGATTTTCGCTGATCTCATGGTCGTGTGAGGCTCACATACCAGACATTGCAGCAGCATAATCATAATGTACAGCCCTTTGCCAATTCATTGGATGAAGGCCCCCCCCATGCCATGATGGTCAGGGGTGGTCGGTTGACCGTACTTCATTCTACGGGTCAAAGCAGGTTGGTGAAAGGGGGCTACCAGTTGGTGTACTAATAACCGCACTCTCCCTATGCCCCACAGCAGTAGAACGTATAATAATCACCCCATTGAGATAATCGTGATTTACAAACGCGTAGAAATCAACACAAATTGCCTGCTCACTCGAGTACTATAACGTCTGTCTTATATCCAGTACTGTCTCCGCTGTGGTGCCAGTTTAAAAAAAAAAGTTTGTTATGTAAAGAAAATAGTTTTTCTGTCGGCATATCTGACTTGTTGAGCAAGATTCTGAGCATAATAGAAGTGGAATTTGTTCAATGGCTCCGTCGTGATATCAGTTTTACATATTGAAGGTAAACTCCAGCTTATGAGACCCATTAATTTTTTTGGAACGTGCTATTCGCAACATTCGTTTTTAATAACGCTGGTTACAGTGTAATGGTAAATTAAATCCTGTACAGGGGCTCCTCTACTTACGAACATTCATCTTACAAACTTTCAGAGATACGAAAAAACCTGCCGTTATTTCCAGTTGAAGCTGTTCCCGATGCTATTGCCTGTTGCAAGTTGATTTATGAAGAGAAGAAGAGAGCCACTGTGCAGACATCTCTTGGTAAGTTTTTCAAGAGAGTAGAGAGAAAATACGAGCACCAAAGGAAATTAGGATCTACATCTACAGAAGATTAAGAACCAGTGGCATCTATATCTATGGGAAATGATACAACTTTTAAAGCCATTCTCTGTACAACATGTTTGGAATCGACAGGAGTAAAATTAGACTTAAGAACAAATCGACTTACAAACCGACCTCTGGAACCTAACTCGTTCGTAAGTAGAGGAGTCCCTGTACCCATCGGGGCCCTTGAAACTGCTGTATTGGAAAGCTGCTGCATGGGCCGGTCGACGAGCTCGTGGGGTAACACTTTCGTGTGGGGCGGGAGACTGGAGTGTGAAGAAAACGATAAGATGGCAGGAAGATGACAAACCATTGGCAAAGGTCATAAGCTACTGCATGCGCAACGCCATCGCAGCTGCTTGTGGCCCAGCCCTGGGGTGTGTTCGGCACATCATGGCTCCTCCGTGTTTGAACCCAAGCAATTGAACTCGCTGCCAAAGTATCGTGGGTACCGCGTGTGATGGTGCAGTCCTTGTTGATTTTTCCTATTCGCACAGCAGAAGAGAGGGACTATCCGGTATCGCAACCACATAAAGCACTCTTTTTTTCACGGTGAATTCGTATCTAAAAATTAATCGCGACACATTTTCACGCGGAACAAATGTTGCTGTCTGTCGGACACAACTCCCCAATTAAATTGAATAACCCTCCGATAACAGTGTGCACTTTTCAGGAGATGATCTGAATGCAAGCATTGCTTGTCGTGTGGGATGCACGTTTGCCGTGATCAACTTGAGATCGTTTTTGATGGTTTATTTTACGCGACTAGAAAACGTGTGTTTATGTTTGTATGAATATATTCGCCAAGTTACTCGCATGCAGAACTATTGTGATTGCTCTGCTTTTAGTCTGACTTGTCTGTGGTTTGGCAGATATCACTTTTTCCCCTTATCTGCAGGAACATGTGGGTAACAGGGAAGGTGTAGTTTTGTAATACACTGAAAAAAAAAGTATTTTTGCGATACTTTTTTTGCATTCTTGATTAGCTACAACTTAGATCATCACACCCATGTACCATCCATTAAAATTTAAAGAAAAAAGTGCGCGCTCACAATGCACACAGCGGTCACGTTTTCACATATTGCACCACATTGCCCGACATGTCAGTGTTAACCTCACTCCTACCCAGACATCCGCTGTAATCCAACCTCTCTTGTAAAAGGCAGACGAAACAGATACTCTCGGCCTTGACATTCAGTAGTGCACAACAAGCCGAATGGGTTTTTTTTGGCTGATTTCAAAAGGTGTTATCTCACTGTGACATTAAACCCCATAGTTAACCTCAATCATTGCTTTTACAACCCTACACATGATGGAGACTCATTAGACTCCGGTGGTAACATTTGCTCTTTGTTAACGCATAGAATGCATCGGTCTACAGCCAGCCTGACCACTGACGACATCTGACACTACCGTCCTCTGTGGGTTTGTGCTGCAGCAAAGGCGTTAGCCCCCCAATCTCACCCGTCATCTCCAGCTCTCTCCGTATATCACATTATCTCCTTGACAGACTGTTGGGGCAAGTTCTGGTCACGAGAACCTATGAAGGCCGGGAAGGCACACAAGAGGGTGGGTGGCCAGCAGCACGCCCAGGCCACCTTTGTCTCCCCAGCACTGATGTTTACACACCGCACCAGATACCAGTTTAAGGCTGAGTGAACCTAAGGGAGGCCCAGGACAAGTAAAAAAAATTAGCACTACTTTTGGTCATGAGCGGGAATCGAACTTGGGTTGTCGGGTTCATTGTAGAGTGCACAAACCTCTGCACCACTGCTCTCCAACCTTTCTCTGCTGTAAGCAATGGTAAAAAAAAACCCTGTTATTAATTTTAATTAACCAGTTATTCATTGTACAAGTTCACTGAAGCAGCAAGTTTATACCGACATTTTAAAATATTTATTCATGTGAACAAATACATCGTGAAGCAAATACCAAGCTGAACCCTCGTAGCTGCTTTCAAGGCTCCGTGGAGGTTTCAGCAGTGGCCCACGAAGAGCCATGCAGGAGCCACAACACCCTCTATGATTGTGGATGGAGGGCGTGCACCATGCACTTGGCAGTGCGTGCGCAAAGGGGAACACACCAGACAGGTTGGGGTGCTGGTTATAAAAGTATGACTGATACGGGGGTGACCTTTGCTGGTTCGCATTTTAGGAGCCTGTGGACTTGACAACAAGGACCCAGCGTGCTTGTCATGTCTCGCTCCGATAACAAGAGTGTTCCTCTGGGGCTTCTTTGTTTGGTCTGTTCATATTCTCTTTCGTAATTAATCTTGATTTAAACGAACCTCGTTCCAAATCGGATTCATATTTTGTGTGTGATGTAGTCCTGTATCCAATGCTACATTTACACAAAAGAAGCAGTTTTAAGTTTATCTTTAATATACTCGGATATTTAGTGAGTGCAAATAAAAGGTGAATTTTACAAAATAGAGTGTTCTTTCGGGGGAGAAAATAAGTGTTAGGAACAGGAAGTATAAAAATAGATGGAAAGAGCATGGGAAGTTGTTATTATTTTGAATAATGAAGCATGTGCTTCACATTCAAAAAAACACTGGAACACAGTGTTGAAAAAAAACATGTAGCATATGACCTAAATCATACATTGTTTCAAATAAACTTAGAGAGTTTCAGGTTAATCTTGAAAAACAAATCCACATCCAACACAAGCCTCTTCACTTTAATGAGATTAGGCTGGAATTCCCACTGGTGTGTGATTCCTATCCACAGTGTTTAACCACCTTTGCTTTAACACCATCTCAAACATTTCGCAGGAACATTGCACCCAAATATTAAGCCACAAATGTTAAACTCAAATATAGACCAGAAACATTTAACCCATATATAAACCACACACATTTAACTAGAAACGTAGAGCAAAAACATTTTGCCATTTGTTGATCAATTAGTTTTTTTTGATCATCTCACAGAATTATCTCGTCGGTGAATTCTGGTCAACTGTGTTAGTTTGTAAAATTCTCAGCAGTGGTGTGATATCTGCATGAACACATGTTGAAACGTAACTAAGTTATGTAGATTGAAAAGTAAGATGTACGCTATCATTGTCGTAAATGATAACAATAGTAATTGTCAGTTTAACACGTAGGCTTTCGCGACCAATATTATTCATAATCAACGTTTTTGGGTTTAATCCCAAAAAAATAGCAATTCCTAATTAAGCCAAGGGCTTCAAAACCACCTAGATTGTATGGGCTACCAAAGATCCATAAAATCGGCATCCCTTTACGACCCATAGTCAGTACAATTGGCTCTGCCACATATAAATTAGCAAAATATGTAACTAAACAAATACAGCCCTACGTCGGTAGGACATCATCATTCATAAGAAATTCAGAACATCTTGTGAATATGATCAAAGATATTAAACTTAACCCTAATGATATTTTGGTGAGTTTTCATGTGATTTCGCTATTCACTAAGGTTCCAGTGAGCGAGTCGCTTAAATTACTTGATACACGGGTAAAGAATACAGGTTTACCAAAAGATATTCCGAAACTCGCTGACCATTGTTTAAATAACACTTCTTATGGAGAGGCGAATTCTTTAAACAAAAGGAGGGAGCAGCAATGGGCTCTCCTTTATCTCCTGCTATAGCAAATTTGTACATGGAAAACTTTGAAACCAGAGCACTTGCCTCGAGCACATTAAACCATCCTTTTGGTTTAGATATGTGGATGACACTTTAGTTGTCTGGCCACATGGTAAAGATACACTGAACGATTTTCTAAATCATCTCAATGCACAAAACCCAGCCATTCAGTTCACCATGGAAATGGAGGTGAATAACACACTCCCGTTCCTGGATATTGTACTTGGGCATGGCCTAAATGGTAAAATAACACACAGCGTTTACAGAAAGCAAACGCACACTGATGCCTATCTGAATGCAGATTCGCATCATCACCCAGCTCAGAAATCCTCTCTTATCAAGACGCTCATACATCGGGCTAAAACAGTGTCAGATGGTTAAAGTCTAGTGAGAGAGATTAAACATGTTAAAGAAGCACTAAGACAGAATGGCTACAATAATGCTCAAATTAACAGAGCACTAAATGCCAAATCACGATCGCAAAGCAACACTACTGAAAGCAATCAGATTATTAAAACAATAAAAATACCATTTATCTCAGGAGTAACTGACAAATTAGCCCGTGTTTTGCAAAAGCAAAACATTACAGTAAGATTTGGTACAGTCCACAAAATTCAACAACTAGTAACGTGCACTTAAGACGAATTACCTAAATTATCAACAGAAGGTGTATATCGGATTAATTGTGTATGTGGCAGATGCTATATTGGACAGACAGGGCGCAACGTTAGTGTAAGACTAAAAGAACACCAGAGAAATATTAAACTATCACAAACACAACTGTCGGCAGTGGCAGAACATGCATGCCAACAGGGACACTCAATTGATTTTGACAACGTTGAAGTGTTGTGTAAAACTAGTTACTACTGGCAAAGACTAATTAGAGAATCCATTGAAATTGAGAGAAACAGAAATAACGTTTAATCGCTCAGACAGCTACAGGCTTAGTGCGGCCTGGAAGCGTATTATTAAATAAGATACATTACAATTCCTTATAAGGGAAACAAATACTAACTGATTACTAATGTTGCATAATCACAATAAAACACATTCCAAATGATTACTAATCTACAACTAGCATCGTAACAATAGCCTGATTACTAATCTAGTATATAATTACAATAACCCCCCCCTCAAATCTTTGCACCTGATGAGTTAATGAGTTAATGATGACGTCACCCTGCTGCTGCTCTATATTAGAACGGGAGACACAGCAGAGCCTCACCATTCTGGCGAATTGCCCGATGATGCTGGATGCAATTACCAGCGAAACGTCGTACTCAAATTGTAAATTGTTGTGGTTTCACACTTCAACACACCGGTGGGCTAAAGCAGTGAACTATTTGTCTTTTGTCAACGTGACACTTTTTTACTGATTGGCCGTGTCGGGTGGTGGAGGGTTATGACACATAAATAACGCGATCTAAACCCAAAAACGTTGATTATGAATAGTAATTGTGTTAAAGCACCACAGTAGATAGCATTATAAAACACTCCTCGGTTGGCAGTGTTGTGTACTTTGTGTATTCCCCATATAGGCCTTTGGCCAACACTTTCATATCGATTGATTATATAACCTCACAAAGCTCTCATCAGTACAAAACCTCTGTCTAATATGTACAGATTGTCATGAGTGGATGACTGATGTGAATGCTCATCGTCTTCTTGGTTCTTTCGGTAAAGTCACGTAGAAGGGAAGTAATAAAATAATAAAAATAAAACATAATAAAATAATTGTGAGAATTATTTTATTATGTTTTATTTTTATTATTTTATTACTTCCCTTCTACGTGACTTTACCGAAAGAACCAAGAAGATGAATTCCTGCAGTCACGAAAGCTTTAAATCGAAATGCTCATCGTGTTTTACTAGAAAGCTGATATTTGGCACAAATATATTCGAGTCTTTCCTTACGAATAGAAATTTTAAAAAACTGAATTTAGAACGTAAATTGTCTTCCAAACTGAGAGAAACAGCTATGAACTTTGTCTTTTTGAACCTAGGCCTACAAATCCTGGACTGTATGTGGGCGAGGGGATAGCTATGAACAGGCTTAGCAGGCAGTCGTTGTACTAAAGCCAAAGGACTCGTGTGGACCTGGGGGGTGGAGGCGAGTGTGTGCAGCCCTCTGGTAGCGGCATGCCGGGATGTGGGGAACAGGCCATTATTGTGCGCACGTTTGGCGTTGATGGTAGATGTATGCATGTTGAACTTCTGTCGCACCGTACGTAGCTAATCGGAGGTGCGGGGGAATGACAACAAACTAAACGCACAAAGAAGCCCTAAAGAAGTGAGTTTCAATCTAGATTTATCCGTGCATAGCTCCAATAGCTTCCTAATATCGGAAGGAAGAGCGTTCCAGACGACCGCAGAAGCACATTCGAAAGCGAGCTATGCAGTGACCGTCTTTGTGCCATGGCCATCTAAAAGCCCCTGCGAGGATGACCAGAGTTTGCGCAATGGTTTATGCTCCCTGAGATCAGCGAGGCATTGTGGTTAATTTGTGGACAGCACTTTGTGTGTAATGAGTGTGACCTTATAACGTATTTGTTCAGCAAACGGAGGCCAATGCAGCTCAGCGAGCACTGGACGGACACGGTGGGATCTTGATGAAGGGTGCGAGCACGTGATTTGCGCCATGTTCCACCAGGGGCCTTGTGGCTGTGGGAATCGTGTGTGAGCCAGCTGTCCTTCCCTCGCGCAGGTCTTGCTCAACGTCGCAGGCACGAGTGTGAACCACTCGGAATCCATGGACGGAGCTCAGCCCGGGCACTTGGAAGGTGGCGGGGACAGCGAGATGGAGGACTTCTCCGGAGGGGTGGTGCTCAACGATCAGGTTGGGGGGGGGGTGTCGGCATGTACGCATGTTCACATGCGCACGCGAGTAGCCAGTCTCGCACTCACCGCTCGCCCATCCACCTACGCTCACTGGCTGTTGCCTGATGATGCTAGTTGTAATTACTGGCGAAACGTCGTACTCCAATTAAATGTGGGTTTATTCTCCAACACACTGGTGAACTGTACTCGTAACGAATCTGCACGTTTTGTTTACGTGACAAACCTTACTAACTGGGTGGTGGCGGGATTAACGACACATTTGCTCCCTCGTGTGAACCACAACATATTTAAGAATCTACCCCAAAAACCTCTTATGGATCCTACACCAACATTGGTGGGCACGGATCGGTGAAGGCGGTGAGTAGACGTTCAAGAAGCAAACTACGCGACAACAATGGATGAAAATTTCCCGCACAGCCCTCTGCAGACAATGTAGCCACAAAACAAATGTTCTCGGTCTCGCGCGCATTCAAGCGCACGGCGCAAGGTGAGCTGCGGTGGCACATGGCGGCACGTGTCTTTGAGGGGCACGTGCGAGCATCTCCCGCGGCTGCGTGTGCACGTCAGGTCATGCTGGGAGAAACGCTGGACTTCACGTCGGCCGTGTACAGAGGCAGCGGGGACGAGGATGGTGCTCAGCCGCCCCCAGCGGACGCCACCAGCATCGGACAGGACAGCAACAAGAGCAGCGGCAGCGACGCTTCCTACGAGGTGCAGCTCCCCTGCCTCACGAATGTTGTAACTCTGAAATATTGTTTTAATTAATTCTATTCTACTCTTGCGTATGGGAAGATTAGGAGGTTAATGCCAATGTCGAGGCCACGAGAGGGCAGCAGGCGAGAGCTTGTATTCTTTTTCTCTTCCTCCATTGAAGGAACGCAGACTACAATGGTTGACTATACGGTCCATGGCTCGGATGGCATGGCCACAGTTGTAATACTGTGGCTTGTCTTTAAATTTCCATTCATGAAGGAGATGTGCGCAGCGACCTATGTTCTGATGTGGTTGATGGTTACACTAATCTGCCTTTGAGGGGGAATGTCAAAGCCAGGAGATGCGATGTTGGGTCCAGAATGAGGTGTTTATTGTGAATGTCTGCATCGTTCCACTCTGTACGCCAGTATCCTTCCAGATCTGGTTGAGATCCCATATACAAATAGAGTTGCCAGAATCAAGAGGGAAATTAAGATGGACCCTATTCGCGAATGTAGAGCGGTGTTTATTTTAAAAGATTACACTACCCCAGCACTTCATAATGGATTTTTCACAGGCAAAAATAAATGAAAAAGCCTCTAAATATTCGTTGAGTCTCCAGCTGGAAAAAGATTGAGACGAGATCAGTTTTGTCTTTGCCTTTAAGGTACGATAAATGATTGAGAAGCCTGTGGCCTGGCATGAGAAGAGTGACAGAGGGTGTGTGTAGTTGTGTGATGTCATCTTACAGGACCTACCTTTGGCACAAGATGATGCACAGTTAGTTGCAGAGTTCTGAATGTACACGTGAAATGCTATCTTATGTTATAGCATGCTACCAAATCTATCAAAAGAATTAACCTCTGTTCTGATTTTCAGTTTATTGAAAACTATGTTTTTTGTGTTTATCTTAAATTTGCACTCAAAGCAGTCCTGAAATATCCCCATAAAATATCTTCACAAGAAGGAGACGACCCTTACATGGGAAATGCAACTGGAGAATCTACCCGGTCACGTTCCGTCGTTGAGAAGCATGTGTGCAGAGTTTGAACTCAAGACGGTCTCATGGGGGTGATGCACCATGTGAGCATCCTCAAACGGGCCACAGCTGGAGCAACAAAAATATTGAATAGTCGAGGTTCTGATTTCAAATTTTGACAGGTGGAGAAAGACGGCGTGAGCCTCAAGTCTGTGGACAGCGGGCACGACCTGGCAGGGGCGGAGCGGCCTGATGGGGGTGACGCAGACCGCTCCCTTGACGAGGGAGGGCCAGGGCCGGGGGAGTGCACTGCGACGTCGTTGGCTCCCGGCGAGCTCGGTGGTGCGGTGAGCCCAGTTGAAGTGGTCGGCCACACCACCCTCGCCAATCTGTCTGCTTCCTCGCCACTCGTGGCTGGAGAAGCAGCGGATGGATTGGAGCCGGGAGGGCCAGCACCGGACAGCGAGGATAACGACATCAAGAAGCTGATCCGTAAGTGGGCACGTTTTGCGCCGGAAAATACGCAGCGAAATGCACGTGCTTTTGCATTCTACTTTTTCGAGGCAGTGCAACGCGCATTGTATCGCTGGGCATGCATGGATCCGCACAGTAAAACTACTACGGTTATTAAAAGATAGACCGTAAGTTGTTTTTAGAATCGGTCACCGATTCGGAAAGTTTAGTCATCAATGTCAGCGGAATCGTTCGAAGCGCAGGACGCGTGCGACTCTGATTGGTCAGGGGCAGCCATCTTAAAGCCCAATGGCAGGAAGCTCCTCACAATGGGAAATGGGAAGCCCTCTCGTCATGGCAGCTTCATGGGCAGTGTGGTGAAATTCCGGGTTCTCGCAAGACCAAGGGGTTCTTTGCGACTGATGAAGTTGGGGATATAATTTAAGATGGGTTGCAGATACACAGTTAACCATGTGAATGCGAGTATATTATAATGCAGATGGACAGTGCTGTTGACATGGCAATATGAAGATAAATGCCTGAGGCCAAAAAAGCTGCATTTAGGAAACTTAATAGGACAGCTTCCAAACAATTAGCTCATTGCATGAGAAAGGTCAAGGACAAAGTGTACAGTGCAGGAGTGAACACAGGAGTATACATAATTCAGATGTGAATGTTCCACTGGCATGTGTCCAGTGGAGATATGTGGTTGACCTGATGAGATCCTGTCATGTGTCTGGGGTAGATCAGACCCAAGTTCAATCCCAAGCCCTTCAGATCAAGTCCTCATTTGTACAAATCCCATTGCCAGGGACAGAATCTGATCTTGATCTGATGATGGGCAGATTACCTTATTATTTAAAACGTAACCATGCAGTAATCCATTCACTGTATGGGTTAAATAACAGAAATGTAAATGTTTAGCAGTTGGTGAAGGAACAACAAATCTTATTGTGAAAAATACTGAAAGTACACCAAGAGTATATATCAACAAAGAGCTGCTTGTAGCTAAGAAGTAAAGATGCCACCGCTCGATGTGAAAGGGTGATGGGTTCAATCTTTGTGTGCCCGTGTGTGTGTGTGCTCGCCAACAGCACTTACCCCAACAGTGTATCACACTATCGAGGGGATCTGTGTGCATATGGGGAGCGGTAGTGTAGTGGTTAGCATGGACCCGGCGACCCGAGTTCGATTCCCGCTTATGACCAACACCAGTGACGATTATTTGAACCGTTCCTGGGCCTCATCCTAAAACGAGTACCCGATGCGGTGTGTGAAAACATCGCCACTGGGGAGACAAAGGCAGTCAGACGTGGTGCTGGCCACCCACCCCTTCATATGCCGTGCCGGCCTTCATAGCTGCTCGCTAACAGCACTTGCTCCAACAGTCTAATAAGGTTATACGGGGGGGATCTTTGTTTTGTGTTTATAGGCACAGCTTGCCGGACTGTGCGCACGCTCATTGGGAAGCTGGGACCTACGCTTGCCTCGCGCTACGTGGCGCGGAGTCTCCTGCGACTCCTCTCTACCTGCTACCTGGGTACCCCCCCCCCCCCCCATCTGCTGTTACCCCTTGTGTCAAAATCACAGTTAATTCCCACTTGCAAGTGTGCATTGGCTGCCATATCCTGTAAATGTCACGGTTGGCCAAGTACGGTGCGAAACAAGCTCAACATCCATACAGGGCTATTGCTGGGCGATCATACAATCGGTGACCCATGTAAAATATCTTGCCTTGGCATCTTGTGTGAAATGGAGGCATGCCAGGTTTGCACAGAAACTGTGAGTGGGCAACAAAGAGTAGCGGAAGTGTTACAGAATCCCTGACGTAATTTCTGCTAAGCTTCTGCTTTAGCTAAACCACAATGAGCTGTTTTCTGAGTCTCTTGCTTTAGTCCTTAAAGACTGAAGGTCCGACTGACCCAGACGTGACTGCTGCCATCGCCATAACCTTAACGCATAACTGCCGCCATCTTGCTCAACAGCTGCTATTTTGTGATGACACGGTGGGCTGCTCTTAACAAACATCCCTCTAAGTCCTCCGCTCTTCATCGGCCACTGGCCATAAGCTGGCATCTCGGCCTTGTTGCCCTCATCATTCATCATCTGCTGAATCGTTCACAGGCCTTTGTCAGCACCCGACCGCTTTATCTGTTCCATGCACGCGTGGATCTTAACACCAACAGCTGGTTCAAGCTCTGAACGAACAGACTAAGGTTCCAATACTTGAAAGAACATTCGGAGTAGCGAGGCTTTTTTTAAACCGAACAGATTTAAAGAACACAGGATGAGATGTTACTATCCTTTGCGCAAGCACTTCCAAGAGTTCATGAACAGTGAGCCTGGTGAAATTTGGGAAGCGCATCGTCAGTAGTGTACCTTTGGTTCCTAGGGTGTTTCGGCCTTTCATACTATACACCCTCCCCAAAGGCGGCCAGCGACAGGGTGATCAATCCTACGCTTGCGTCCCATTCCCAATTAGTCATAGGAGTTGCCTTGTTGTTGATAGCCAACATCCCATGGGACTATGCAAAGTTGGTGAATTTTGCTAGCAGTTAAATTACAATCTTTACACTGATGTAATTGAGTCGACTTTAAAGCACAAAATTACAATTCCACCTCAATAATCTCAGAGAAGCCTCGGCTCCTCTCAGAAAGAGACTTGAGAAGAAAGTTTAGTTCTCACAAGGTGAAAGAACATGTATTTTGTGGCACAAAGCGCCTCCGATTATCATGGTTGGCTACGTATGGTGCAAAATAAGTTCAACATAAGTCCATACATATGTAGCGAGTCATTTCAGAGACTATTTAGGAGGCAACAGCGTTTATTCTACACTTATGCAACACCGTTACACACGGGACTAAATACACCTATCTCTCTCGCATACGGGATAACTACAATCGAGTCAGAGCAGCCCACGTGCTGTCGAAGACGGAGACGCAGCACTTGGGTTCCACTTCACCTGCAGACAGCCCCGATATTCGGTCGGAGTTTCCCTTTTATCCTTCTCGGAGTGGCTTGGATCCACCCTTGGCCACGCCTACTTCTGAAATATTCCCGAAGGTTCCAGGCTACCTTACACACCTGTTCCCTCTCTGGCTCCATCCTTAACCACACCCCCTTCGGGAACGCTCTAGACGTTTCTCAGCTCCTCTTACCGTGTCCCCTCGTTCACCTTTGGCTCACGTTCCTAACCTCGGCCCATCGCGTGCTTAACCCGTTGCCGGGGTGACTCGTCCTCACATGCCCCCTACCACCAGCAGTCCCCACCACACTTCCCCAGTGACCAGCTATGTGGCAATTACCTGCAGTGCAGGCGGAGGCTGCTATCCCCTACTCTGTAGGTAGGACTCATCTTCTGCTAGCACCCAGTACCATGCCCATAGTGGCCCATAGTGACCCATTGTATGGTACTGCACGGTGTGTGAGCCTCTGCGCCCATTTCTACGGCACTTGCCGCTACGCACCGTAGTGATCCATTTAACATCACTACACATACAAAAGACGGGCGTCGTTTGCAATAACTCCCACTGTGGTAAAATGCGGTGTGGTGCAAGGTAAGTACAGTCGTTTTAATTTACCGCTGTGAAAATGTGTGTGCCCCATTCTGAGCAGGCCCCGCCAAGCACCAGTTTGTGAGTGAGGGGGGAGCGAAGGAGGGCGCAGGGGGCGGCGGTGGTGGCGGTGGACGTGGTGCGGTGTACCGGGCACGCCCCGTGCTGGGGGACGGCCATGCCGAGCCCGTCGTGCAGTGCCTTGTGCACCTCGCCTTCACCTACGGGGAGCCCGTGCTCACGCTGCAGTACATCCCCCATGTCGCCTATGCCGTGAGCAGCAGCATCAGCAGCAGTTGTAGTAGCAGTAGCAGTTGCAGTAGCAGTTGCAGTAGCAGCAGCAGTTGTAGTAGCAGTAGCAATCGCAGTAGCAGCAGCACCTGGGGGTCCTGCAACAGGGTGGTCCATTGGGAGTCCTTGGCAGAAAAATTTTGCTTGGGGCCTCAGCGCACGAGAATTAGATTCCTGATAATGGCTAACACTGGTGGCAAATTGTATCAGAAATTAGTTTAAAGCATCACTTAGGTCAACTCGGCCTTAAACAGTAGCTGGTTTAGGGTGTAAAACAGCAGTACTGGAGATATAAAGGCATTGGGACTTGCTGCTGACCACACCACACCCCTTCGTGTGCCATGCTGGATTTAATCGGGGCTCGCTAATAGCCTTTACCCCAGCAGTTAGTGATGGGCTATGTAGGATTGTTGTCTTTGTTCACATTTTATCTTTTAATATTGATGTGTGCGTGTGTGCTGTAGTATCAATTGTTGTTTGTTCCGGTTTGAGACGTGATGTAATGTGGATATGTCTCTGGCAAGTGGAGAGAATGTGCTGTCATGGGTGTGTTGAGACCTGAATTTACCACAATGTACAAGTACAGCCCTGTGGTCTATCCACTGCTGGATGAGGGCCTTCCCATGCTTTGTGGATCATTGATATTATTTAACTGCACATTAACGCCCTCGTCAGTGTTGGTCAGTGGAGGTGGGGAGCGTAGATGTTGGAGCTTTGCAGTACAGGACAGTGGATATTGCTGTATACGAGATAACCCTACTTGGCAAGTACTATCCCGGTTCAACCCACGCTGAGCTGTGGAGATGTAATGAACGTGTACCTGGACACAGAGGCGGCTGTTTGTATGCGGGCTGCAGGTGGCGTCCAGCTTGGCTGGAGGCGCGCGCATGAGCAGCCGCAGGGAGGCGAGCCTTCTGGGGGCGGTAGCCTTCACGCAGCGCCTCGTTGTCTACCTGTCCGACACCACGCTGGTGGACTGCATGCGCCGACTCAGCCAGGAGGTCCTGCAGCCCGTGGTGAACATCGTCACCTCCCCATCGCTCAGGTGCAGATCGGCACGCTCGCAGCGTGCTTTGCTGAACTTCTTTCGCACTGTGCATAGCCAACCGTGCGAATCAGAGGTGTGGAAATTGTAGCTGAACGAAGTGGCTTATATTTTGGAATTTATGGTAGCAGCCAAGTAATCTAAAAACAAAAGTCTACAAAAATGTAGCTTATTCCATGCCAAGTTCGGTTACTATGTAAATCTTGACTTAAAGCTTTCGTGACTGCAGGAATTCATATTGTTTGGGTCTTTCGGTAAAGCCACGTAGATATAAAAAATTACATAAATCAAAATCACGACGTTTCGATCGCAACACAAGCAATCGTCTTCAGGTGAAAAGAGGGAAATCTGCTGAGGCAGGCTGTTTATAAAGGTTTAGAGATGGGCGGGGCAGCTAATGTTCATGTAGGAGCGAGTAGGGCCCGGACGACGCAGTGGCAAGCCGCCGTTTACTAACACACCTAAAGGTTGGCTGTGTTAGTGAATGTAACTCACAGCCAGTTATGACCTAAACTGGTTAATAATGTCCTTCCAATGCTCAGTTTGTACCCATCCTCTCGGTTGAAATTGTGTCTGTGTTTATATATCTGGATGGCTTCACGAACGAATCTTTGCTGATAGCCAGTGGATTTGCAGAGTTACCTTCGTCTTGTCAAAATAAATTTCGTGTGTGCCCACCGCGTTAAAATAATGATCAGCCACAGCTGAGGTATTGGTCTTACCGTGTTTCAGATCTGCCTTATGTTCACGAACCCGGTCCGAGACATGTCGCTTAATTTCCCCAATGTAACTGCTGCCGCAGACACAGCTTAGTTTGTAGACACCGGGGTATTGCATGTCAGGGATCACATCCTTCACAGATGGGATCAAATCACGAATTTTATGAACTCTGTTGAACCGTACCTGGATCTTGTGTTTGCTTATAATTTTGGAAATCTTTTGGTGACCCCTGCTATGTATGGCAAGGTGATGGTTTTGATTGGTTCCTCAGATGGTTCTTTCCCAACGGTTGGAGTGATAGCTTTACGGATTGTGTAGTCTGAATATCCATTCTTCTTGAGGGCTTGGTGTACGTGCTCCAGTTCACTGGCTAGGTGGTGACGGTCAGAAAATACAACAAGCGCTATGGTATAGAGTTTTGATGAGGGAATTCTTCTGGGATGGATGGTGGTGGGAGTCGGGTTTTAGGTAGGCATCCGTGTGGGTGGCTTTCCTGTAGACAGTGTCCCAACGAGCCGTCAGGTCTCTTTTCGATTAAAACATCCAATAATGGTAGCTTGCCATCCTTTTCCACCTCCATGGTGAATTTGATGGCTGGATGTATGGAATTTATGTGGTTGAGGAATTGGTTCAGAGCTGGTAGGCCTTGTGGCCAGATGACGAACGTGTCATCTATGTATGTCTTCCACAAGGAAGGACGTAGGGTGGATACCTGGATGGCATCTGTCTGAAATTTCTCCATGAAAACATTGGCTAAAACTGGAGATAAGGGAAAGCCCATTGGGGCACCTTCAACTTGTTTGTAGAATGTTCTATTCCAGGTGAAGTAAGTGTTGGTGAGGCAGTCTCTAACCAGGGCCGGTACATCAGCATTCAGTCCTTGTTGGGCCAAATCTTCAATGATTGTAATGGTGTCAGGCACAGGAACTTTGGTAAACAAAGATACCACATCGAAACTGACAGGAGAATCACCTGGAGATGGTGAGATGTCCTTAGTTGAAGATATCAAGTGAGCTTAACTCACCTCAACTGTACTTAACTCAGCTCACTTGATATCTTCAATGATTTATGTAATTTTTTTCTATCTACGTGGCTTTACCGAAAGACCCAAAGAATACTATGTAAATGTCTCGTACAACTCGGGCAGAGTTTCCCCAGCCAGTGGTAAAAAATGTACATTTACCCACACTGGTGAGATTTACGTGGGTCTGATACCTCTCTTCTACTGCACAACCGAGCCGCACTGTGCCCGTGCAAGGGGTTTGTTCACTGCAGAAGCCGAGCCGTGGCACTGGCGGCCACGTACGCTGAATAAGTCCAGTCTCGTGTTGGTGACGCATTGGCGCCATCTACTTGTGGTGCACTGAAGGTGTCAGCCCCACCCACTGCTGGCTTCCAGACTCAGATTGTCTTGCAAGTCGAGCATATCATGTCTTGGTTCTGGCTCAGCGTGGAAAATAGCCCGTGGAAAACCACCCATCCCGTGAGGGTCCTGCGTTGGCTCGGCTCGGATGTGTCAGTAGAATAGAGGTTTTAGGCGCCTGTGGCTAGGATATTAACAATCTAAACTTTTTCTTATTTTACCAGGCAAAGCCCACTGAGCTATTAGCTCTTTTTCAGAGACGACCTGGCTACAAATGATAGCTCAACGAAGTGGCACATATGTGGGAATTTATAGTAGCCGCCAAATAATCTAAAAGCAAAAATCTCATGAAATCTTATGAATACAAAAATAATTATAATTTACATTTATTTGTAAGGCGCCTTCCACTAATGTCTTAAGGCGTCTTGTAAGAATAAGGCTACGGAAAAGACCACGAGAGACAGAGAAGCTAAATAGAATAAACTGACTTAAGCAGATCTGTTTTAAGACGAGACTTGTAAAAGTATAAACGAATTTCCAGTGGTAGGGAATTCCACAACCGTGGTGCTTGTTCCATCCCAAGTTTGTTAACTACGTAAATTTGTAGCAGACTATACATCACATTAACTGTGGATGACCCCTTGTGTAAGTAAACAATGGCTGTGGTCAATTGAGATGAATTAACATAAATAACATTGGCTGTGGAAGGCAAGCGAAGGTGAGAGGCAGGAGAAGGGTTACAAGGTTATGGAAGCATTTCGGCAATGCGTCCGCTAAATAAATGCACTTAACAGCCACACGTGTAGGGTTAATGTCCTGTGCAGGTTACTGAAGAGCAGGTCATATGAATCTACTATGTCGCGTGTGTAGTGTAGAGCAGTGGAATCAATTTCACTATCAATCGTCATTCGATAAGTCAAGCCCATGCTGGCACGTGAGCAAGCGTATACTCGTGTGTGCTTGTGTACGCGGGCGTGCTCGTTCATGTGAGCAGCTTTCCGAGCGGTGGGCAGTGCCGTGCCGTGCTGTGCCAGAAAGCGATGAACTTGATGGCGCTGCTGTGCCTGCGCATCGGCGGAGACTCGGCCCAAGTGCACATGGCCGACGTCATCCGCACCTTCTTCCACGGCTTCTCCGTCGCGCACAGTCTCGTCTCCCCACAGGTGTCCATGCAACCCTGTAGCCTGAGCTTGTTTAAAAAGAAAGGGCTCGGGATGCACAGGGTCCATGAGTGGCCCGACACGGTCAATGGTGAACGAGTAATGACACGGTGTGCTTTTGTCTATCGTTCATTCTGCTGTGGCTGTCGCTCGCTGTGCGTGTATGAGGGAAGGCGTGTGACGTCCACTTGATCCCGCCTCTCCTGTGTGTCCTCCATTCAAGAAAGTAGTCTAACTTTGTTTGCTATCTTTAATTACGTTTGCTGTTTTCCTAATGAGGAAAGTTTTGCAGTTAATTCGGGTTATCCTCGCAAAGATGGTCACTGCATCGCATGCTTACAAATGTGCTTCTACGGCCATCTGGAATACTCTTCCAATATTAGGAAGTTAGTGGAGCTATGCACTTTTAAATCTAAATTAAAAAGAATTTCTCTACAACTGCTTTTTGTATGGCGTCTTTCCCCCACACCTCCGATTAATACAGTTGGCTACATATGGTGCCAAAGAAGTTCTACATACGTACATACAATTCACTCTGGGCATCAGCAAACATGCAAATAGATATCTAAATAAGTGGTTTGAAAAGTATTTGAATCAAGACATACTTTTTTACTCTTGCTTTGTAGATGGAATTAGTTCATCCGTAACATTAGCATCGTCTTCATCATCCTCTTGCATGCCAGCCTTTTGTGAATGGACACCAGACAAATAATCTCTTGCATCGATTTTTTGATGCCAGGCCCCATGAAGTGCTGCTTCTACGGACGAGTTGCAACGGCACCGTGCTTTCTTTCAAGGCCCGATGAAGCGATGGGTGTGGGAAAATCGATTTTTTTATTTTTATTTAAACTTGTTTACGCTCCACACACACAAAGTAGCCCGTAGATATAGATGTGTGTTTTTACATTTGTGTATATTTTTTAAATGATTTTATTGACATAATTATCCTAATGTTTTAACTACGACAGTTTATACCGATTTGCCTTTACAATATGGTCATACACAAGAAATGTCACATCAAAAAGAAGACGTTATTAGTCATCTGCTGTGAGGTAAAACTAAGAATTACAGTACTGAGATGTGGGACACCCTGGAAACAGGTGCAATGGGCACCATGAACAGCCAAATCTTTACACACGGGGCCACCCTCAATTGAAGGAGCATGGTTTAAAACATTGGCATGGCCTAGCCTCTACAGAGACCACAATCGGTGACACGAACGCTCAGGAATACCTTGAGCGAGTGACGAGCCACACGTACATTACGATGTTGGTTTCACATAACTTGGATTCTATCTCTTAATATATTATCATTCTTTTTTTTCTTATTAAGCATGCATTTATCGCAACATTCCTGCTGAGATGCAAATCAAGTGTTTTACAATCGTTCCATACAGATATATTCTCTTAAGTTTAGTGTTCTAAAGTGACACTAATGTTTCTGATTCAGGTCTGATGTATATATTCGATTACTTTGTTGATTTCAATCTAAATACTCTTAATCGTCTTGCACAATTACTCCCGGATTGTTGTACGAGTGGAGGTGCTTGTGGGAGTGTGTGACACGTCCCTTTGGTCTGCCGCTATAGGGAGGCCCTTCAGAGTCTGGGCTCCAACCTGAGCAGGAAGACACAGGCCTAGAGGAGATTAAAAAGGCCTTCACCTCCGAGTTGGCTTACGCTGCGTTTGTGCCGTTCGTCTGCCTGCTCGGTACATTCAGCAACTTTCATTTTTCCCGCTTTGCTTTCCCTTGAACCGGGGGTGGGGGGAGCCAATGGCCCGGGGCCTCTCCCCCGTCTCATGACCTCGTGTCACATGGCCTGTGGGCACACGACGCGGCCTCTACCGCTGCCACAGAACAGCAGCCTGCAAACAATATTATATCTGTCACTTGAAGCATCTCAGTCTCACTAATCGGGTACTATAGGGGAATATTTAAAACTTTGCAACACTGTTTCTAATATTGGTGCCTGAAGTCGCCAAAAAAGTTCAGGCCCCCGATTATATGTTGTGGTCTTGGATGATGCTGAGGTGTGCGTTAAATGGGCGGCCCACCAAAGGCACTTGAAGGTTCTTTTGGACCCTCAGTAAATGAAAGGTACCTTGCACAGTCTCATCCACATACCTCCTGCAGCTCCCTTCACTCTTCTTGCCATAGTCGACCACAGTCCTTTTATAATGTCACAGTAACAGTATAACAACAAGAGAATATTGATATTGAAGGCCTGCCTGCTAGTTGTTACAAAGATGTCAGCAAAGGATGGCCTCCAATTACAATTCATGCTATCACAGTGTCTTTAATGTCTATTTTATCAAGTGGTGTGCTTTGATGGTTTCTAGCACGAAGCACGAATAATCACACAGCTGCAAGAATGCAACTACTGGCTGGCTCTGCAAACTAGCCGTGTGGAACGCATGTTGACCCGTCGGCTATCCATCGCTTTCGCTGACGATGAGATTTGCCACAGAACTTCGCCGTAGCATCCGTGGCATCTTTGTGTGTGGCCTGCGATTTGAGATTGCCGCCGTTGCCCCTCGCAGGGAATGTGAGCGTGGAGAAAGTGATTCCCAACCATGAGCTGGTGACGCGCCTGAGCTTGGAGCACGAGGAGCTGCAGCGGAGTCAGCTGGATTCCTCGCCCGGCTCCGCGACGGACAGAGAGCCGGGCGGGAGCTTCACGCAGCCCCGGGCCAGCTCCTCCTTCCAGGACAGCGATGAGTTCGGCACCTTCGGCGGCATCATGATCGGCAACCGCATTCAGATACCTCAAGGTGTGTCTCGGGCCGCAGCTGTTCCCATCGGTAACCAAGTCTGTTGAGTGACGAGAAAAAGCCCATCGGCAATAGGAAGCTAGTGCATGCTTGAAATGCACGAGTTTCAAACGACGCGCAAATACGTGCGGAACGCACAAAACAGCCTCTGTGCGCTTGTAAAAATCAGTTCCAGTAGAGGTGCACTGTGACCCTCTCGGCTCTGTCCACAACACCAGAGATTATCCGGGACTGACTGTGCATTTCGGATTGAATTGGTCACCGATTTGATCGGCGAGCTCAAGTCGATGAGCAGGACGTGGCTGCTTACATCTCTTAATCCGGTTGTTTGACGGAACGCACGGCGTTGCAGGCTCTGCCCCATCAGACGTGGGGCCGCTGGGCCGCGTGTCGGCGCACAGCAGCCCGCTGGCAAGCGCGGTGAGCATGGTGAGCTCGGTGAGCTCCGAGAGCACGGTGAGCACGCCGCCGTCGCGCTCCCTGGAGGAGGAGAGCCTCGTGAAGCAGGAGCTGCGCGTGAGCGAGCGCATGCTGGCCGGGAACTGGCTCGCCTACTGGCAGCACGACATCGGCCTCAACCGCACGGGCGGACGCTTCATCTTCAACCAGATCAAGCTGCAGGTGAGGAGACGCCATCGCCGCCCGAACGGTGCGCCGCTTTAGTACTTGGACGTGCTGGGGTGGGTGGGGGGGTCGTGTTGCGAGGGGGCTGTGTATCCGCAACGCCCCATTTGCTGGGCTGTTCCAGGAGTTCTGCAAGATCTGTTACTGTTTAGTGAGCCGCGTGCTGCTTGTTATGATTATTTACAGCTCTTCATTAATCAAATATCCGTCATGGGGGTTCTTTGACCATACTTCACTACGCTTGCCACAAAACTGGTTCAAGCATCGCTCGCCACTGATATTGGCCATGACCAGGAATCCAACGAAGTTTGTTGGGTTCATAGAACAGGGCAAGAATGAGAACCCCCTTTGCCAGAGCCCCACCAATTGCGTATTTTAACATCAAACTCAACATTGCATCATCACAAGGAAATAATCTTCACATTGCTGGCAATGTGAAGAGTCTATTCTTCATCAGGAAAGTAATTGACTAATAATTCCATTTACAAAGCACCTTTCATGGAGGATCTCAAAGTTCTGTATAAGACGCAACAGCAAACACCTAGCATAAAATCACTGGTGGAACTAACATATAGACATAAATAACTGCCAAAAACCATTTACTAAATTCACTATTTAACTAAGTTAAATATACAGAAGTGTATAAATATGTTTTAAGACTTTTTTTATATCCTGATATCTCATCGAGATATACATGCACTTTGTGCACCGTGTTGCATTGCAAACAGCAGAGATTCGCCCAACCCGGTGATGAGTAACGGGAGTGAGATTGAGTGGCGAGTTTGGTCCAAACAAACCAGTTTTTACCATGGTACTCAAACCGTATTCTTACAAACCCCTACGAGTTCTTCCAGGTTTGCTTACAAACCGACTGTGTAACCTGGATCGGGTTTTGCATACATTTTAAAAGGACGTACAATGGTGGGTTTTTAAACCCAGCACCCACTGATGTGTAAAAATGCACAAATAACAGCTGCGGCTCACAGATAGTGTTTCAAGCTTCAGAACTGTCAAGAGCGTTATGAGCATATTGAGGTCACCCTTTGTTTTGTCAAATCCCAGCCGAATGCCCGAGTGGCAGCGTATTAAATTAAACATGCTGCCAGGGCAAACCACGCGGGAGCAGCGATCAGCGGGAATGTTCCTCGAGGATCAGCAGTGCAGCAGTGTCGGCTGACATGCCCCTGACCACCATCATGTGACAGCAGTGTGTGTGTGTTCAGATTTGAGGCTCATCTACCCGTGAGAACACTGTATTTCACAGTGATGCTCTACATGTTATTCATCTGCCATTTGAATTCTTTTCAACACGCTATCCCACCCCCGTGCTAAGTTGCATATTCTGAAAAAAATTCACGTGATAATATTTTCTTGCCGAGTTTGGACTAAAAACTATCGACTCGATGGTCTGGGCCGGGTTGCATAAAACAACGTGAATGGAAATTTATCTTAATTTACCCTGATATCAATTGCAAACCCAGCCCTGGTTAAATCTGCAACGATTTCATTCAAGAGCGCTGTGTCGGTCTCGTGACATGGTAATCTGTAATTTCTGAGCCCCCTGCCCCTTCTGCCTCTAGGGTTAATGAACAGGCATTTTATGCCAATGGCATTGGACTTTTGTGACGTGCTAGGCTTGGAGTTTTCTTAGCTTAAGAACACTTTTTATTCACTAGGTAAGAACCACTGAGCTACATAGCTCTTTTTCAGAAGCGATCTGGCCACAAATGATATCTCAACGAAGTGGCTTATCACGTGGAAATGTATAGCAGCTAAATACTCTAAAACGCATGTTTATACATGTGGAGGCAAAAACTGGAGAACCAAAAGAAAAATGCATGCCATCCACAGGGAGAACACGTAAACATGCAAACTCCAAATATACAGGCGTCAGGGTCGGGATCGAATCCATGACCTCCTGTATACCAGGCGAGGTAGTTCACATCTCGCCACCGGGTTTAAACGAGTGCTGGCCCGTAGCGGTATTAGTGTGTCACCGAGGGGACCCCGACAAATTATTCCCTCGAGCATGACCACGGCAAACGTGGCCCACGCCGCTGCGACGTGTCGCGACGCAGACGTACGTGGGGCACACGGGGATGGTGAAGGCGCTGTGCGTGCGGCCGGACGAGGACGGCTTCCTGAGCGGAGGCAAGGACCGCACGGTGCGCCTCTGGTCCCTGTCCAACTCTGGCGATGGCACCGAGCGGCTGCACGCGAAGCTGACGTACGGCCAGCACCGGCGCTCCGTGAGCCAGGTGGCGCACATGGAGGGCGGGCAGCACGTGGTCAGCTGCGACGGCTCCGTACACGTCTGGGACTGCAACACAGGTGCCGGCAGCAGCAAAGATGCGTGCAGTGCAAAGCCTTCGCAGAGAACCAGAGCCGAGCTCGCGTAGGCTAATCTCTTCTGCTAGGGAACCAAGGGGGGAGAACATAACAGGTTCAAGGTGCAGCCCTTCAATTGCTTGCCGACGCCACTACTGGCCGAGGGACCTCCACCCGAGGGAGTTCTAGAGAGAGCCCCCCCCCCCCCTCTACTAGAGGAGATTTGGCATATGAATCCACGCTGGCCAGGTGTCTTGAAAGAGATGGGAGTCCCCACACTTTACCCCACCACACGTAGCCCAATGTCCACCCCCACACTCTTTGCTGGGTATTACCCACACACGTGGGCTGTGCTTGGACTGTATCCAAAAACTTAAGACATGTAAATCTAACTACATCTAAATTGTATATTAAACAAAACATTGTCTTCATATCTTTGGTTATCCAGGTCTCTCTTATGAAGAGATGAGCTCAATGGGATGTCATTTGATTAAGTGAGACCCACTGGCTGTTTCAACACAGTGGTAGGGTGGGACTTTGCCAAGAATGCAGACCAAACTCTATCCATTTAGGAATCTTGTAGTTCACATAATACCTTACAAAAATGCTCCAAAAAGTGAATTCTGCCCAAGTTTAACCATGTGTTTTGTGCCGTTACCTGACGTGTACGTCATCGCATCTTTACGCGCAGGTTAACATCGTGTTGACTTTACACACAGTTAACGTTGGCGTGGCCATTGCGTGCGTCCTAGCGCGTGACCCTGAAGGGAGCCTGTGTGTAATCCACGAGCACCTCGCAGGCTCCACCGTGGCTGTGTACGAGGCCCCCGACTCGCGGCTGAGCGTGAGCTCTCTGGCCGTGCTGCCGGTGCCGCACAACACGATCGTGGCAGCGACGTCCGACTCCATGCTGCGCTTCATCGACACGCGCAAGCCCGGGATGCAGGTGTGATTCACGTGCCGTCGCCTGCATGCGTACGTGTCGGGATGCGAGATTCTGTGAAATGTATTGAACGTTTCAAACTCTACAAACGATTGACTCCCCCTAATACGTGGACACACCTTTTCGTCAATCCACTGCTGGATGAGGTCCTCCCTCCATGTCATTTGCCCCGTGGGGGTTATTTCACTTCACCATGCTGGTCAGTGCAGGTTGGTGAAGGTGGGGAGCATAGATGTTGGAGCATGGCCCAATTCAACAATAGATTTTACTGCATTGCCTCTTCTGCCCACCACATAGCCCCTCAGCCTATAACAACCTGTTGTGCATGGTGGTTACCCATCTTAGTACTATCCTGGTTCCACCCTGCTTAGCTTTGGAGAGCTAACAAGATGGGGCCCATTTGGAGCGGTTAAGTCATTGACACGGACGCTGTGAGTGCCCACTCATGTCCCACGCATGCACACACCCGCTTTCTCATGCACACTCGTGCTGGCATTGTGTGTAAATTCTGTTACTGGATCACGGCTACATGTTGCGATGCAGGAGGGGAATCACAAATATCACGTGGTATTGGGATCAGCTTGTAACTTATCTAAATGTTTTCCTTTAATATTGGCCGTCAATCTCCTAATACAGTTACATCTGTACTTATTTACATTCTACTGATTAATCTCATTGACCTTCCTTTTGTAAAATTTTTTTTACCCTTTTATCTGGCAACAAAACTGACACCTTTTTTTACAAGGAGTCATGTTTGCATTGACCACAATACCTGCGGTCGGAATGCAAACAAAACAACTCTGATAATGTATGCACTGTCCTTGAAATTGATTGGTCCACACCCGAGCCAGCTTTTCTTAAGAGCCTCGTCTCACATGGTGTTGGACCAGATGATGCCAAAAGGCGTTATTGTGGTCAATGCAAACATGATTCCTTGTAAAAAAAGGTGTCAGTTTTGTTGCCAGATAAAAGGGTAAAAAAAAACAATTATCATATTTTGCTACTGGCAAAGGAGGTTCCAATGACCTTGCTGTTGTTTATGCCAGAGTGGGATCCTAGGAATCATAGGGATTTACCTGTAATGTAACATATAAATGTGGAATAGAGCCTGATATTGCCTTTTTAAAAAGTTTAATTTTGTATTTGGTAAATCTGTGAAATAAAATGTGATCGTGATGGAGTCATTATCAAATGATTAACGAGGCTCTCGGTGTCTTTCCGCACGACTCGGCTGTCAATGGTGAAACGAACGTGAACCAAATTTGTTTTGTTGTCTTGCTGTGCGCGGTGCTGACCCAGCACGAGTTCCAGCTGTCAGTGGGAGGCGGCGGCGGTCCGGTGCGCTGCCTGGCGGTGAGCCCGCATGGTCTGTGGGTGACGGCCGGCCTTTCCTCCGGCATGCTCGTCATGCTGGATGTGCGCACGGGATACTTCCTTCGGATGTGGCAGGCCCACGACGGCGAGGTGTTGCAGCTCAAGGTGAGCGCTCTCACTACGAGACTCTGCCTATAGTACAGCTCCTCTTCTCTGCCCATCTTGCCTCCCGCGACAAATCCCTCTTCTGCCGCGTGCGTGGGTTTTCGGCGTTGTGCTGCATTGCTCTCTGATGTGTGTTCGGGCTGTGCCACTGAATGTTAATTTCCTGAAAAGGCTCCCACCACATGGAACCGAACGTCCAACGTCATGCCCAAAAACACATGGGAGAGCTGAACAGTCTTCATGATTTTATCCGCCACCACATTTATATCAACATTGCCACCTATTGGCAGATTGTATTCATCTGTGAAAGCCTTGTGCTGTAATAATGGGGTGAATATCAAATGTATTAAAATTATGATTATTTGCAGGGCGTCGGCAGTAACACGTTGGTGAGCTCCTCGTCGGACCACACGCTCGCCGTGTGGAAGGCGATGGATGCTCGCTTGAGCCATCTGTTCCGCAGCACCCCCGAGGCGGCGCACACCTGGGACACGCTGGCAAGCAATGGCGCCGGGGAGGCCGGCGAGGTGATCGCTGGCACCACCGGTAATCGGATATTTGTGTACCCTCTGGGGGACTGCGCCTCAGGACCAGCCACCAAGCTGCTCCCCGAAAACTTCCGCGGGGTGCTGTCTCGCCTTGCCGTGCTCCCGTCCAAGCGGCTGCTGCTGCTGGGCTCTGACAACGGCAGCGTGAGCTTGATGGCTTAGCTGCCCCCTTGGGACTTCCTCCCGGCCACTTAGCCCGCTCCCTGCTGCGTTTAGTAAAAAGTTAAAAGGTGCAGTCCTGCAATTGCTTTCTCACGTCACTGCTGGCTGAAAGGTCCTCCACGAGAGGAAGCTCAAGAGAAGCCCCTTTTGATTGTATCTAACCGACTCTTCTCCACTGGCCAGACATATAGGATGAGGTGGGGGGTACCTAGTTTACTCTACAGCACACAAGCTGTGGATTGACGCACTGGTCGGACCAATTTATACTGCTGGATGAACAGAGGTAGAGGGTTTAATAAACTTGCACCGTTGTTTCAACTGCCGCACTGGAAGATCGAATCGAACCAGCGACCTCCGAATTGCAAGTCCAATGTGCATTTGAAAAATCTGTACATATGTTTATACCGCCTACGCAGACTTGGAGAGACGCGTTTCCCTGGATGAGTCCTTGCAAATGAATGGACCAAATTTTGGATCAACTTGTTTATCTGATTGTATTATTGATGGATTTTGTAGATTAAAAGATTATGAATAAAGTTGTTTTTAAACATGAAGAAGGATTTATAATGTACTCAATGAAATAAACTTTGAAAAACACAAGTTTCTGAAAAAGTCACACGAATAAATCTTGAAATGTTACGCACTCTTCTCTTACAGTGTACAGCTGTTGTCATTGAGGGTAATTTTGGCTGAATGTAGAAACATTCGGCACTGGTGCTGTAGTCTATGGGCCAAAGCAGAATTGGAAAACCCTTGGCAGCACTATTAATAATGTAGAGCCCCCTTTGTCAGTCCGCTGCTGGATTAAGGCCTCCTAAAGCCGGGTTATTTGACTGCGAGTCAGTGTGGGTTAGTCAATGGGGAACCCCAAACCAGTTCAGATATCGCTTGCCACTGATGTTGCCTGTCGCTGGGAATGAAATTAGTAATGCAGTGTGTTAATCACTGCACCATCGACCCCCCCCCCCCCAATTTGGGTCCGTCAATATTTACCCACATTGAAGTAGCACGCATGTCATATCGGCGACACGTTTTGTGATATCCAGTGGCAGCGACAGGTGACAGTGGTCGAGCCCAATGTGCAGCATCAGGAAGACGTAATGTCATCTCTCCACCAATGTCCTAGGTTGGGCATTTGTTTAATATGAATTGAACATTTTGCTCAATGCTGTAAATGTTTGTTTTTCAACATGTTTAAGTCTCAATATTTTTCTGCGTAACTTGGGAAGATGTTACTGGAGGGATTATTATTTGGAGCAATCGCTGTGCAACCTATTTTTGCTCGTAACCTTTTCCAACACCTTTGCCAGTTGTACACTATTGCTCTTTAAGTTGTGGTGTAGCAATCACCCGTATAGCACTTGAGTTACACACATCTGGTGATATTGTTAAATGTTTCCTTATGCACCCCTAACAAAAAGTAAGTTTACAGTTATGTAAAACGGTAATTGCAATGTAAAATAACATCATGCTCAATTGCATGCCCATGATGTGTACACCTTTTGCTGGACAGGGAAAGCTGCCAATGGGGGCCCTCCTTGGCTAGACTGCAACAGGGCATTGAAATAGTTGAGATGTGACGCAAGACACTTTTGAGTGAGACATTTACGCATGCTATAAATGCATATCCTTAAGCTCGCAATAATGTATTTCAAAAGGCATGGGTATTTCCTAAACATGTAGCCTTAATACTGCTGGTAGATTATTTCTGTCGATGTATTGTAAAATTGTGAACAAAGTGCGACTTATTACTCAACTTGAAATGAGGGTTCAACACGGTAACTACTCATCATGGCTACGTTAATGAGTAAATTGTTGTCATTCGATAATTAGTTTTAAGAATAACGATGCTACTCAATTACATTTAAGATTGAGAACTCTACCACCGGTGGTATTGGCAGGTCAGCAATTGTCAGCATTTAAGATTGAATCCTCCTGTGGCCCCATCCCCTTAGTTTGTGATTGGTTGCAGTTGAGAGAAGATATGGACGCTCAAAGAGAATTGTGCCAAAAACGACCTCCCAGGAATTGCGCAAACTGTTTTGCCGAAAGGTTTCGTCAGTGTTTTCTGCAAATGCAAAATCCATTCTGCATGAATTGGACTTCTGGATCATGTTTTTTTCAGAAAGTTGTCGCTTATTTCGGAATGGATTATAGAGCATAAGTTGCTATTCATCAGATTTTGAAAGAGACTTTTAGGATGTATAAGGCAAATATAGCAGTGCTTACATTTTATATTGAGACCCAACATTGTGAGGAAAGCTGACTGGGATGTGGAAATGTATAAACCATGCTGATATCTCATTGCAGATGACAATCACTGTAACCATCCCACCAACCGTCACCACAGTGTGAAACAAACATGAAGAGCAGGTGACATGGTGTTTGCCTTTGTTGAAGTGTGCCTGCCTAATGCCCCCTCTCATCGTGTCGCACGAAAGAACGGTGTGAGTTGTACCCTCGACATGTTTTCAGAGGAGTAGACAAGTTGACTTTTCAAAGTAAAAATTGAAATAAAATGTCTTCTGTATTCAGTGTATCATTTGTTTAGCAGTGTGGCATCCATGTGGAGGGCGAAGACTGAACGCCCTTGCATTTGCAGCTGTTTAATGTGAATTTGACCTCGGCTGCACTCAGCCCTTGCAATGATCGTGGGAAAAATCGGCAGTAAGCTGCAGATCGTATATCAGAGTTGCAGTGTCAGGGGCTCTTCATCCAGGGCACAGCACCATGCACTACAAACATCAGATGATAGTGTGCCCACGCTGGTACTTGTCCGAGGGTGATATTGCTGCGAGCTGTTTAGGGAAATGTAAGTGCGCGCGTACTCGCAATGCGTGTAGAATGCTCTCGAATGTGGTTTTGGGTTGGGAGCTTTTTCAGGAACTGAAACACATCGAAGAGCTATACAGCACAGCTGCATAAACCGAAGTAGTCGTACGAATAGAATATGCTACAAAATCATGCGTGCAGTCGTACAGGAAAAATACTTAATGCAAAGGCTACACAGCATAGATACCTCATTACCAAAGCAAGTGAGCTGGTAGTGGGGCGGTTGGAGAAGGGTGCTGGTTCAGGTGTGTGGAGTGTAGCTGCAGGTGATGAAGTGTGGAGGCCTGCCCAGGGATTCCAGGTGCATTGAGATCTACAGTGCAGTGTGGGCAGCCGATGATCGGCTGCTACCCAACGGGTTCGCAAGTTGTCATGTGGCCATCTCGGGTGTGAAACCGCAGGTCGTGTTTACCCTTCCCCGACCCAGCGCCCCTCTGTGCAACGATCGCTTGAAACTCTTTCAATGAGTACAGCCCCACGCCTGTCCCAATGCTGCAGTACCCCGAGAACACAAGACCCTACTCAAGAGCCGCCACCACTACCTTGTGCCAGGCTTGTTACTCGTCAACATACGCAGAAATTATAGCGACTGTAACTTTTAATGTTAACAGTCTCCATTTCATTTGTCACTACAATTAATGAACGCTTGACAAATTATATTAATTTATCACCACAGCTATCCAAATGTAATTGGAATAATTTATTGAAACATTGGGGGAAAAAAATTAACTGCAGTCTGACAAATAATAGAATCACGAATGTCTTCTCGGTAAGCAAATTATTTGCGTGAAATTGTTTACAATAAACATAAGACAATTTCACATCATACTTTTAATCTTGCCATCGTATGTCAAAAAATCATACATGAATGGAGCAATAAGTCTCATTTGATCGGAATGGTTGTCCTTCGCGTGTTCCAATGGGGTGCTCTGTGCACCAAGCGCGATCTGTATTTACTTGCACCGTGTTGCTTAATCCGCTGGCGGGTGGCACTAGAGGTTGGCCGTGTGTGCCGGCTGCTGGCCCTGCCGGCCCGGCCCGGCCACCGGCCTGTCGCGCTCGTCCCACAGCGTCACGCCGTCACACGTGCAAATCTTCTTTTTTGAGTTCTCAAAGAGTCCGGCGGAACGAGCAATGATTCCACAAGCCAGTCTGTTGTAGAAAAGTCACATGTCGCACTGAGTATAGGATAGGGTTAAAAGCCCAAGTTGCCAATGAATTGAGCTTGCAATGCATTGCATGGAGTAGTTGACCAATTCCTTACTGCAAGAGTGAAAGAACACCAAGTGGCTTTTAATAAAACAAAAATCTTACTTGTACTAGAAACATACTTTGTTGCTATTCAAATGGAAGTCTTGCAGAAATAATGGCTACATATTTAGATGATCCATCAACCCTCTACGAACCACAACTACACACCGGCAACTTGGAAAATATACCGTGCTAGACTGTTGCCATGTTTCTGTGCTTTCATATATCCCGTTTTTACTTTGCCCCCAAATTCATGGCAATGCCCATTCAAATGCCATTTCGTTTATGACAGTGGTGACATGTTCATATATTGTTCCTCGAGGAAATTTAATCTGTTGCTTAGAACCAGTCCAAATTCTCCAACTGTTGCTGTTACCTGTATATGTTTTGCTTTAATTAGCTGTGTCCTCACTTAGACCAAGTTAAAACAATGGAATTACCACTACCACAAATGATGTTATTAAACCACCTGCATGCAAGAACTGAGGGTGGAAATGCCAAGGTGGACATGCCAAAGTGGACTTTGTAACCTGATACAAATATTGCCTCTAACTGCCACTGAAGAGACTCACCCCGGCCCGGAATTTCCTGTGACTTTTGACAACGGGTGAGTTCCACGTCCCAGGTCATCTGCCGTCTCATCCACCACTACCGATCGTCCGATGATATCTCCCACCTACAAACACGTGGACAATGACACATTGATGCACGTGATTTTGAGCAAGCACACGTCAACTTGGGAATGAGCGAATGTGAAGAGCCGCACAATGAGTCAAGTGAGTAGTGGCTGAAAGGGTCAGTGATGTGTCTGGTGATAGTGACCTGCATAGTCTTCACTGGCTGGGTCAGCTCCAAGCCCTGGTTATAGCTCCACTGGAAAGCCCCCTTTGAAAGTGGTGAGCTGTTACATTTTAACTTAAAACTTTCGTGACTGCAGGAATTCATACTCTTTGGGTCTTACGGTAAAGTAACGTAGATAGAAAAATAGTAAAATAATATATTTTTCTATCTACGTGACTTTACCGAAATACCCAAAGTGTATGGTGAGATGTTATCTCCCTCGCCTGGTATGCAGTAGTTTGTGGGTTCGATCCAGACCCCGCCGCCGGTATATTTGGAGTTTACATGTCTCTCTCCTTGTGGTTGTGTAGATTTATCTCCGGGTCCTCCAGTTTTTCCCTCCACATTTATAAACATGCGTTTAGAATATTTGGCCACTATAAATGTCCACATGATAAGCAACTTCATTGAGCTATCATTTGTTGCCAGATCGTTTCTGAAAAAGAACTATAAAGCTCAGTGGGCCTTACCTGGTAATATAAAAATTGTTTAGTGTAGAAAGTAGTGCGTGAAGGCACGGCTCTGTGCTTACACAGCTGCTGGCCAATCAAAACTAGTCATGAAATCGAAGCGTAAAGATTAAGTACCTTTATTTTTCCAGAGCTCACGCGGAACGATGCCCTGCCATGCTCATCCGCTGTGATGTTCCCCAGATCTCCAACATGCTGCGTGTACAATCATAGATGCAAAAGTACGTGGACAGGCACTCGAGGATATACAGTTATTTTATTCATAATCAACGTTTTTGGGTTAGATCGCGTTATTTATAAATGTGTCGAAACGTGAGACACTTTTGAATGCAGGATTTTAATTCTGCCTTGGCCCATCATTTGATGTCGCACGTACGGAATTGGGGTCATCGGGGCTGCCATGGTTGCTCCTGTGTGGGTTGAAGTGGCCTCCACAACTGCAATTCACATAAAAACACGGCACTTGAATGAGAACATTTTCTTATCAGTGGCATCATGGTTCCGCTGTTATAATGTTGGGATGCAAGTTATGAACCAGTAGCATGCGGAGTCTGATCAATTGACTGTTTTAGGCTGATAAACTCAAGAGTTACAGGTGTCAGAAGATGGCGAAAGGGCCCACGAGCGACCTGCAAGCTTGTCGTTGGCAGGGGATGCGTGTGAATCACCACCTTGGAGTTTCACGTGGCACTGTGTGACAAGGGAGCAATTAAGGGCTGTAAATGGAGCCACTGGCTAAAGGGATTCCTTTTACACTGCTAGGTACATTCACAGGCCTCTTGTCAATCGACTGCTAGATTAGGGCCTCTTCCATGCTGAGGGTTATATAAAACCATACTTTACCATGCCAATCGTGTGGATTGGTAGAGCTGCAAATATGTCAATTGTATATTTTACTGCTTACATTTTTCGATTTAAAGCTTTCGTGACTGCAGGGATTTATATTCTTGGTTCACGTAGAAGGGAAATAATAAAAGCATATTATTTCCCTTCTACGTGACTTTACCGAAAGAACCAAGAATATGCTTACATTTTAATGTGAGTCTTCATTTAACAACAATAATTCAATTTGATTATATATTTGATTTGAAAACAAATGTAAAACATCCACAGCATGACCACACGGTAAAGCAGCACTGTAAAAACGTGTTATTTTTACAGCGCTGCTTTGCCGTGTTTTGAATTTACATTTGGTGAACCTAATTACCAACAGCACATCAACATTAGTATGCATCAACATTAAACTTGTATCGTGGTGGGAACAGAGAGTTGTATAGCAGCATAAGTAGGGTTTGGAAGATGGGGAAATGTGCTTTGCATGGCAGGTCAGCAAGGAAACATGATTCAAATGCTGAGATGAAGAGAGGGGAGTAACAGGATAATATAATCAGACGAGAATGCATTTTCATATGTATTGCTGTTTACATTCAATGTTAATGACTGCAATTGTACGTGGTTCCGGTGGACACATTAAAGTTCAGATTAGTTTGATAAATATCCATATCCATGAATAGTGAAAACATTTTTGGGAGAGACCTGAGCACTGAGAACTTTTATATCATCTGGTGGCTACGACTAATTAAGAACTCGTCACAAAAAGCCCCACGCACTCGCCACGTGCCACGCCCCACGCCGGGTGCATTCACGCATGCAACTCTGCATCACCTGAAGCAGCCGTTGGTGAGGTCTCCGAACTCGTGCACGTGCAGACCATGCGGGCCGGGTCTCAGGCCATCGACGGTGCCCTCGATGGCGCAGGTGAGCGGTGAAAGTTGCACGAAGCGCACCACGCCCAGCACCGCACCCCGCACTGCGCCGTCCCCGGACAGCTGGGCCACGGCGGCACCCAGTGGCCCTGCGAGAGGACACGATGCACGCACCCAAAACGACGAGACGACCATTCTCCACGTCAGCCTTGACGGAGTCTTGAGAAGACGCTAAGAGTAAGCGCCTCTCGACTTGCACAGCACATGGGAGGGCACGATAATTAACTCCACGAATTACCAGCTGCCTTTGTCTCCCTCAGTCATGAGCTGGCCGGTGTACCCGTTTTAGACTTTGTCGGTGCAGAGGCAGCCCAGACAGTTCAAAGACAGTTTTATTGTATTTTTCTGTGTTTGACGAGGGATCTAATCTCGGTTTCTGGGATCGGAGAAGAGTGTTATCTCCATGACTCCCCATAGACATACCCGACACATTTGCGAGCGATAAAGAAATGAACGCTTTCACAAGTGACAGATTATATTCTTTGGTTCTTTCGGTAAAGTCACGTAGATATAAAAATAATAAAAATAAAGTGAATTAAAAATATAATAATAAACTAAAAACCACTAATGTAGACTGGTTCTAAATCGGAGTGAGTGTACTGGCAGTGTGATGTTGACTGTAGCAATGGTTATTAAACTGATTGAACATACTGGCAGTCTATAATGTACACTGTAGCCTGGTTCTAATCTGAATAAAATAAAAACAAACCACGACGTTTCGATCGCAACACAAGTGGTCGTCATCAGGAAAAAGGGGGGTTAGCCTCTAAAGGCAAACTGTTTATAAAGGTTTAGAGATGGGCATAGCCCAAGTGCGTCAGCAGCATGGGCGGGGCAGCTCATGTTCATGTAGGAAACAACTCAGCAGTGAGTGGGTCTGCACCCAAGCCAGGTGAGGGCTCGTTGAGAGTGACAGATTGCCAAGAGCGTGTCACTTTACATTAATAAATATGTTATTCGTTCAAGCCAGGCGGGGGCTCGTTGAGATTCTATTCTCAAATTAGTGCTTTATTACGATTATTAAGCGCGAAATGAAATTTAGAATTGAATATTTCTGCACGGTGCATAAAACTGCACCTGTAAAAACTGGGATATACATGAACAATGTACAAAACATGGTCCAATACATAATTTGAGTCAAGAACATGAAAGGCAAAACCCAGAATTCACAACCCCACACATTAATGAAACAATTACAGAGTACATGGACAAATTGTTGGACTATAAATCACTGCAGCCAGAGCACACCATAATAGAAACCAAAGATGAAATTACCAATTTGCCCAGCCATTGTGTTAATCGGACAAAATGAAAGGTCCTGAGAATATTGCGTGGAACACACTGGATGACCAGTGGCAGCATGCAAGGCACACCTCCCTGTGTCGGTCCGATGCCCCTTAGCACGGCCCTCTTGCCGGTGGTCTCGATCAGGCTTTGGACTTGAGCTGATGGGAGTACGGTATCCACCAGCACCTGCTCTTTCGCCAAGTCCACCTGCACTCCCAGCACACCTGCCCCCAAACAAAGATCCCTCGTATAGCCTTAACAGACTGTTGGGGCAAGTGCTGTTAGCGAGCACTGATGAAGGTGGGCACGGCACACGACGGGGTGGGTGGCCAGCACCATGCCCTTTGTCTCCCGAGTTTCAATGTTTACACATCGCACCAGGAACTTATTCAAGGCTGCATCATCCTAGGGGAGGACCAGGACCGGTTCAGAAAATCGTCACTGGTGTCGACCATGAGCGGGAATCTAACTCTAGTTGCCGGGTTCGTAACACAGCTAACCGCTACACTACTGCTCCCCACACCTGCCCCCACACACATACACGTGTACATTTACACCTATTAGTTTGCACATTCAGTTATGAATTTTCTTCATGCTTCATACACAAAACTCGATTGTTCTGATTCGAAGCAGCCATTGCCTATCCTCGGCTGGATGAAGGCATCACCATCTTTCAGCCCTGAAAATCCACAATCCAGATCACTCATGCACAGGAACCTATCTCATTGGCCCGTCTCCATAGTGGCCATCCTCTGGGGCATGGCTACAAAGGTCGAGGTAACCAAAAGTGGCTGATATTTGAATGCTTCTACCTCGAGAGTTTCTAGTCCCCACTGCTACCATTAAAGGCAAAACCTAAAAAGTTGGTACTATTTGAATTCACTCACAAAACTATTAATCCAAAGCAGTGTGACAAACTACATCTGCTCCTGTATGTAAAACAAGCTGAATCAGCTATCAAATGTCTCTCTGGTGCAAGAGTGGGGCACAATTATGGCCTTTCATTATTTTCCTAATGGCAATGTAGAATTATCTGTACTTGAATTTTTTTCATTTACTTCATTTTTTACTTCTGATTTATTTTGGCAACTTCCGACAGCTTGTATTTGTTTTCTTTTACTTTACCTCTTTCAGCCGTCTGTTATAGTGCAAATATAATAGTATTATTGTTGTTTAAAAGTATAATAAAAAAATGTTATGAATTAAGACCAAACGTGATGGCATAAAAAACATTTTCTCACTAGGACAACATACCAACACCCGCCATTCGCCACTAATTGAAAGTGACGTCACCACAGCACCTGTCCCACGCCAGGTGCACTTTTAGGAGGTCTCGGGACAGACCGAGGTGCAATGGGTTGGCTGACTGAGATGACTGGTAGATGCACCAGCTGTACTATGGGCACCATAGCATTTTGACTTAAAACTTTGGTGACTGCAGGAATTCATATTCTTTTGTTCTTTCGGTAAACTCACGTAGATAGAAAAATTATAATAAAAATAAAGTGAATAAAAATATCACGACGTTTCGATCGCAACACAAGCGGTTGTCATCAGGAAAAGGGGTTAGTCTCTAAAGGCAAAGGGTTTATAAAGGTTTGAGATGGGCGTAGCCCAGGTGTATCAGCAGCACCAGAAACATGGGCGGGGCAGCAATGCCAAATTCAGCAGCAATGCCAATGCAGCAGCAATGCCAATGCAGCAGCAATGCCAATGCAGCAGCAATGCCAATGCAGCAACAATGCTAATGCAGCAGCAATGCCAATGCAGCTGCAATGCCAATGCAGCAGCAATACCAAGGGCTGCCAAGAAATCCCTGCACCCCGCTCCACACACCACACTGCTGACGGTGGAGGTTGATTGACAAGAAAACAAGTCAAGTCATGACCCAAAGTGGTTGATGACATCTTTCCAATGATTGCTGAGTCTATAACGTTCCTCTCGGTTGAAATTGTGTCCGTGTCTGTATATATGGATGTCAGAATATCCATTCCACCAAGCTCTCAAGGCGAATGGATTTTCTGACTACACAATCCGCAAAGCCATTGGCCCAACCGTGAGGAAGGAGCCATTTGAGGATCCAATGAAAACCATCACCCTGCCATATATAGCAGTGGTAACCAAAAATATTTTAAAAATCATCAACAAACACAAGATCCAGATCCGATTTAACACGGTACATAAAATTCGTGATCTGATCCCTTTCTGTGAAGGACAAGATTCCTTACATGCAATATCCCGGCGTCTACAAACTAAGCTGTATCTGCGGCAGTAGTTACTTTGGGGAAACTAAGTGACATGTCTCGGACTGTGTTCGTGAACATAAGGCAGATTTGAAACACGGTTGGACCAATACTTCTGCCGTGGATGATCATTATTTTAATGCAGCTGACTCACACGAAATTTATTTCTCTAAGACGATGGTATTTTGCAAGCCTACTGGCTATCAACAAGGATTCGTTCATGAAGCCATCCATATGTGGTGGTCAAGGTTGACACCAAGGTTGACACAGGTCACACAGGTCACACAAGCTAGGGGAGAGGTACGTACCGGTCTGGACCGGTCCGGAACGGCAGGGACGAGAGGTGGTTGGAACCGCTCTGAGGGGACGGGGCTGGCGAGAGCCAGGGCCCCGAGACACCCCCGCCCCTCAGAGAGAGGGGATATAAGACGGCTCCCGGAGAGCGGAGGGGTCGATCTTACGAGAAGCTGAAGGAGGTGCGGCCGGAGATCCTGGACCCCCAAGCCTCGAGGATGCCGCCCCGCTGGGACTGAGTGGGCTGAGTAGCTGTAGGCTAGGGAAGAGAGTAACTGAGTATCTGTAGGCTAGGGAAGGAGAGTAGCTGAGTAGCTGTAGGCTAGGGAAGGAGAGTAGCTGAGTAGCTGTAGGCTAGGGAAGGAGAGTAACAGAGTAGCTGTAGGCTAGGGAAGGAGAGTAATGAGAATAGAGCCGGAGGCTGTACCTCCCTAGGTTGTGTGGTTGGACTGTTCCCCCAGTGAGTCCGGAGGACTAGTGTTATTGGAATAAAAGCGTGTGGCCTCTACGAAGTCTCGGTCTCATTCAAGAATACTACACATATATACAGACACAGACACAATTTCAACCGAGAGGAAGGTGATAGACTCAGCAATCATTGGAAAGATGTCATCAACCACTTTGGGTCATGATTTGACTTGTGTTTTCTTGTCAATCAACCTCCACCGTCAGCAGTGTGGTGTGTGGAGCGGGGTGCAGTGAATTACTGGCATTGTTGCTGCATTGGCATTGTTGCTGCATTGGCGTTGTTGCTGCATTGACATTGCTGCCCTGCCCATGCTCCTGGTGCTGCTGATACACTTGGGCTACGCCCATCTCCAAACCTTTATAAGCAGTTTTCCTTTAGAGGCTAACCACTTTTCCTGATGACGACCGCTTGTGTTGCGATCGAAACGTTGTGATATTTTTATTCACTTAATATTTATTTTTATTTTTTCAATCTACGTGACTTTACCGAAAAAACCAAAGAATATGACACCATGGCATATATACACAGACACACGAGTTACTCAGCACTGTCCCATGTACCTGGCACTCCATGCAGAGCCTTCTTCACCGCATCTTCGCAGCTCCTGCAGCTCATCTGCACAGCAAACTCCAGCTAGGGGCACAAGAAGCACACCGCACAAAACACCACGTGGGATGTCACGGTACACACGCGTAACAACCGAATGCTCACTGCTTTTTTGTTGAAGCTGTGTTGTTCTGTCCGTGTTGAATTCTCTGAATGTTTAAAATGTCCTTATTTAACTCTGTTTCATTATGTGTCTTTAACCGTTTCTCGCTGTCAATTAGTTGTGCCTCTCCCTTTGAATTGACGTCTCTGCCAGGGACCAACTTTTAATCTCGCAAGGTCTCTGTGAAAATGTGTTTGTCTCTTTGTGCCGTAATGGTATTTAAGAGTTTAAATACACCCATTAGACTCAATTATCTACGCAAGTAAACTAATTAGCAGACGGTGCAACAACCACATAATTACCCTTAACATTTAGGTGATTGTGGGTGGAAAATAACGTTTTATCCACCCAACTCTCACCAAATAACAAGGACCAACTTGTCCTGAATGTGAGAATGCCAATTCGTATACCTTCCATTTTACTTTGTCGTGTTTACCAAAATGATTCCAATTGTGCCGTGTAAGACAAACCACTGCAGGTGAACACAGGTGAGAGACAGAGTGAGACAAACCACTGCAGGTGAACACAGGTGAGAGAGTAAGACAACCCACTGCAGGTGAACACAGGTGAGAGACAGAGTAATACAAACCACTGCAGGTGAACACAGGTGAGAGACAGAGTAAGACAAACCACTGCAGGTGAACACAGGTGAGAGAGTAAGACAAACCACTGCAGGTGAACACAGGTGAGAGACAGAGTAAGACAAACCACTGCAGGTGAACACAGGTGAGAGACAGAGTAAGACACATCACTGCAGGTGAACACAGGTGAGAGACAGAGTGAGACAAACCACTGCAGGTGAACACAGGTGAGAGACAGAGTGAGACAAACCACTGCAGGTGAACACAGGTGAGAGACAGAGTGAGACAAACCACTGCAGGTGAACACAGGTGAGAGACAGAGTGAGACAAACCACTGCAGGTGAACACAGGTGAGAGACAGAGTGAGACAAACCACTGCAGGTGAACACAGGTGAGAGACAGAGTAAGACAAACCACTGCAGGTGAACACAGGTGAGTGGCAGAGTAAGACACATCACTGCAGGTGAACACAGGTGAGAGACAAAGTGAGACAAACCACTGCAGGTGAACACAGGTGAGAGACAGAGTAAGACAAACCACTGCAGGTGAACACAGGTGAGTGGCAGAGTAAGACAAACCACTGCAGGTGAACACAGGTGAGAGACAAAGTGAGACAAACCACTGCAGGTGAACACAGGTGAGAAACAGAGTAAGACAAACCACTGCAGGTGAACACAGGTGAGTGGCAGAGTAAGACACATCACTGCAGGTGAACACAGGTGAGTGACAGATTAAGACAAACCACTGCAGGTGAACACAGGTGAGAGACAGAGTGAGACACATCACTGCAGGTGAACACAGGTGAGAGACAGAGTGAGACAAACCACTGCAGGTGAACACAGGTGAGAGACAGAGTGAGACAAACCACTGCAGGTGAACACAGGTGAGTGACAGAGTGAGACAAACCACTGCAGGTGAACACAGGTGAGTGACAGAGTGAGACAAACCACTGCAGGTGAACACAGGTGAGAGACAGAGTGAGACAAACCACTGCAGGTGAACACAGGTGAGAGACAGTGTGAGACAAACCACTGCAGGTGAACACAGGTGAGAGACAGTGTGAGACAAACCACTGCAGGTGAACACAGGTGAGAGACAGTGTGAGACAAACCACTGCAGGTGAACACAGGTGAGAGACAGAGTGAGACAAACCACTGCAGGTGAACACAGGTGAGAGACAGAGTGAGACAAACCACTGCAGGTGAACACAGGTGAGAGACAGAGTGAGACAAACCACTGCAGGTGAACACAGGTGAGAAACAGAGTGAGATAAACCACTGCAGGTGAACACAGGTGAGAGACAGTGTGAGACAAACCACTGCAGGTGAACACAGGTGAGTGACAGAGTGAGACAAACCACTGCAGGTGAACACAGGTGAGAGACAGAGTAAGACAAACCACTGCAGGTGAACACAGGTGAGAGACAGAGTGAGACAAACCACTGCAGGTGAACACAGGTGAGAGACAGTGTGAGACAAACCACTGCAGGTGAACACAGGTGAGAGACAGTGTGAGACAAACCACTGCAGGTGAACACAGGTGAGTGACAGAGTGAGACAAACCACTGCAGGTGAACACAGGTGAGAGACAGTGTGAGACAAACCACTGCAAGTGAACACAGGTGAGTGACAGAGTGAGACAAACCACTGCAGGTGAACACAGGTGAGAGACAGAGTGAGACAAACCACTGCAGGTGAACACAGGTGAGTGACAGAGTGAGACACATCACTGCAGGTGAACACAGGTGAGAGACAGTGAGACAAACCACTGCAGGTGAACACAGGTGAGTGACAGAGTGAGGACAAACCACTGCAGGTGAACACAGGTGAGAGACAGTGAGACAAACCACTGCAGGTGAACACAGGTGAGAGACAGAGTGAGACAAACCACTGCAGGTGAACACAGGTGAGAGGCAGGACTCGAACTGGGAGCGAGGTGTCCTCCACTCACTACAGTCTACACTACAGTCTACACTACAGTCTACAGTCTACACTCGCCATGGACCACTTTCGCGACTGACTGTGGCCTCCGCCTGCGTTGTGATGTATCACAGTTAACCCTTACGACGTTAAAAAGCTGCCGTCTTTGAATCCCACTTCACAGCGGACGGCGCGCTGTTTTAATTAAAACGTACAAACACAGTATACAGTACAGTGTGTGTGTGTAGCGAGTTTCGCCGGCAACGGGAGTCGAACCCTGGCTGGCGGCGACTCTGAAACCCTCTCACCTTCGTGGTGCCGTCCCCGTCCATGATGGGCACACTGCAGTGTCCACGCGCCAACTGCGCATGCGCGTCTGTGGCCCCCCGCCATCCCCCCCCGCCCCCCACGCGATCCCCCCGCCCCCTACGCCATCCCCCCTCGCCCCCGGACCCCACACCCGCTCTCCCCAATTCAGCCCCCTCCTCCCATCCTTCCCATTACGCCCCTCCCCCATCCGACCACGCCCCCCGCCCGATGACGTCACCACCCCATTCCCCCCCCCCACCTCTCTCCGCCCCCCTCAGAGGCGATCGTTTCTCCTCGTCACGTGGGTGCGCGTCCCCTAACGGTCGCGTTGGCGCGGTGACGTCACGATCGGCGCACCAATGAGCGGGCGCGGCGCGCGTCACGTGAGACGCCAGGCCGCGGTTTGAAAGTCCAACGTTTGGTCGTGCCACGAAATGCAGCCGCGGCGGTGGTGAGGAAGGCGGTGAGGAAAGCGGTGAAGAAAGTGGTGAGGAAAGCGGTGAGGTGGTGAGGAAGGCGGTGAGGTGGTGAGGAAGGCGGTGAGGAAGGTGGTGAGGAAGGCGGTGAGGAAGGCGGTGAGTGACTACTGCCACCCTCCCCTATCATTCACCAACTCGCTCACTCTCCAACTCACCCACTCGCCCACCCAGACATTCACTCCTTTACCCTCTCACCGCTCGCCTACTTTAACCAACTTCCCTTGCTCGCATCTCCGTTCCCGTCGGGAATAACTCTTAAGTGTTCACACGTAACCCCTCAGCGTGTCGAGTCGCGTTTGTTAAATCGCAAGCTGCAGTTTTCGTTCTCGTTGGAATGAACCGCCGCTCGAGACTGATGCGCTGCACGCAACCTGCGAGACGCGTTTGTTGATGGCCGTGGGTGGCCAAGTTGCTTCACATTACCAACACAAAAGTCCACGTCGTGGAAGCAGAAGCGAGGCGTCAAGCTCCGCTACCTGGCAGCGGTGTGTGGCGTGGGGCCAGATGTGATAAAGGAGCGCGTCCCATGTCGGGGGTCGTTGTGAATGGATAGGGCCCTTGACATGAAATGTGGCAATTGTCCTGCCAAAGGCCCTTCGTGGAGACTGGAGGAGGAGGAAGCGGCAGTGGGGGCACAAACGGGACTCTGTGTGGAGAGTTGGCGTGGTGGGGGGGGGGTAGTTGCGTGAACGTTTTAGTTGACTGCGTATCGAAGTAGGATTCTTGAATATCTGTTTGGCCACGAGTACAGATGGAGCAGGGTTATTCTGATCACTGACTGAACTGGCGGTCCCATTAGAGAAATTAACCAGCACACGTACAATGCCAACAACTGTTTAAATGATGCATGGCATACATTTTTTTAGAATGACGTACATTTAATCTGTCCAGATTTTCTGAAAATAATAGTATTTTATGCATATTTATTTTCCAAAAATAGTGACTTTAATACCCAGTGTGAGATAAAATTATTTGTGATTGGAGATTTGTCCATCTGATCTGGCAGAAAAAAAGAGTGTTGCACGTTCAATATGAAGATTATCTCCTTTACCTGGAAAACTGAGTACGTCACACTGAGCAGGTCTGCATCAGCCCTCCATATTCTGTGGTTAGTTTCTTAATAACCCTGCCAGCCACATATTGGCTGTAATTAGCCATGTACATACGTGTATTGTTGAATCCTAGAGCAAATAGGGACATTAATAACAACCTCAACTTAATTGGCGGTTGCCCATTTCTCTTGTGCCGCAACAGGATCCTTCTGGAAGATAATTAAATTATCTTCAAATGTCTCAAAAGTGGGGCGACATTACGCTATTATTGATTAAGATCCCTTTAATGCTGGTTTCGGCAACGTTTTTATATATATTTGACAGTTTTTAAATCGGACAAGTCCCTATGAGAGTTACTGTGACTGAATTTATTCCACGAGTTGACCCCCAATATAAGCCTTTATAGTTACATGTGCATATTTTCCAGTGCAATTGAATGCATGTACTGTATATAGAAAGAGGAACAACATTTTCGTACAGGTAAGGTCAAATTTCAGTATACTAGTCAAGTTTTGATTTTTGGACAGTCCACTTCCTTTTGTGGTGCTCATATGAAAGGTTTTAAAAATGGAATACTTGATTGTGATTGGCTATTCATTGGCATTTGACCTCGCCCCCCTCAATTCTTCATGTAATCCCCAAGGATCTCCAAGTAATTCTCAGAATCTTCAATGAATCCTCAGCACAGCTGATGCAATTTAGTTTTTTCCAACTTGTAAATACCATCATGGTGAAATATATTTATCCTGCAAATGGGTTTACTTATGAACATCTGTTAACAACTTAGGTACCCATCATACACTTTTTTTCTTTTATCGACCAGTTCCATTTTCTTGTAACATATACAGCATGTACCGATACTTGCTGTTTGTATCATGACCTATGAAAAAATGATTGTCACTAAGATCTGTACTGTATAACATCTTCACCATCCTAGGACACCCATGATATAGAGCCTTAGCTCATTGGGCCCTTCCTGCTTAAATATAATTTCTTTAGAAATACAACGGTTTTTTTTTCTGTAAGATTGTTGACTAGAGGCATGCACACAGTGAGACAGAAATACAAAGAGAGGGTGACATAGAGGGGCACAGAAATAGTGATACAGGGACACGGAGATGGTGAGACATACAAGTAGACAGTGAGGCATAGACAGGCACGAGGAGATGCACAGAGTCACATGGAGACACCAAGAGGCAGACAGAACCACAAAGGAAGACAACTGCCGTTCGACACTAAGTGGCGAACGGCAGTTGTCATAATCTAGCTGTTCTGCCCTCCATTGTTGGAGGAGGGCAACTGCCTCCAACTGTCTAGTAGCAACCTTCATGATCCTCCTCCACAGATGCCGATCTTAACATCACTAGTGCCATTTCGATTTAAAGCTTTCGTGACTGCAGGGATTCAGCTTCTTGGTTCTTTCGGTAAAGTCACGTAGAATGGAAATAATAAAAATAAAACATTAAATAATTCTCACGACGTTTCGGCCACAACGCAAGCAGCCGTCCTCAGGTGGAGAACAGGTCTGTCAAGGAGACAGTCTGAATGACAAGCTCCAGGCTTGGAGCGACTATTTAAGCTGGGATGGAGGGGACGAAGAGCGCCTTGACAAAATAATTTGCATATCAAGAGGAATTTAGCATATTTATGGGAAATGCAGATATGCGATTAGTACTACTTGTGAAATGCGTAGGAGGTTTGGCGAGGGGTTTAAAGTCATTGTGCCCGTGCATTATGCAGGATTAGCAGCATCAAAGGGAGGGGATAGGGGTAGCATTAATAAAGGGAATGAGTGTTAATAATATGTAGCTGCAGTAACTAAACCACCACGTAAACAACTAAAGTTTAAACTACATAGTATCATCAGTATACTAAATATACTCTACAAGAAGCTGAGTTACTAACAGTACAATTCTATGTCGCAAAAAATATAATATGCTTCCATCTAAACTTTATTCTCTTACATCACACGAGTCTACACCGTACTATATACTGCCATAGACAAACCCAACATTAAATTATATACTGTATTGCTATACACCACCTTATACATTGTAATATTACACTATGTATTATTCTACCCACCCTAATGTATATCACACTGCTGTATATTCACTATACAATTACGATACTGTATATTACTTTGTACATTGTATTAAGCATTACAATTTTATCTATATATATAAAATCGCAAATCTGTCTGTGTGTCGCCGGACCATACGCAGTTTCATTGGACGGTGGTTGCCCCTGGCAATGGGTAGCGACGCATTCGCTACGGGGTGGACGCCATTTTTAATTCCCGTTAAAAATATGCGCACGCATTAACACGCGACTCTGAGGTAAATTCATCAAAGTTTCACGTCCTCTTCACTCCCCCCCCCCACCCCAATGTGTGCAATTACTATTATAGGGTCGGTAGATAATACAATTATAGCGATTAGACAGTATTATTGTAGCGCGGGGGGGGGGGGGGGTTAACGGCCCCAGTACCCAGCCTCAGCCGGGTGGGCAATTTAGGCGAGGCCGGAGGCTCTGCACGGTACTAGGCCTCGACACCCCACCACACTATAGGCCGTACATATTACTGCACAGCGGCCGAGGAGATCCTGGCTGGGGGGGGGGGGGCAGGGGTAGCAGCCCATCTGTGTATATATGTAAGGTTTTTAAGAAATATATTTTTCACCCGGGCAAAGCCGGGTACTTCCGCTAGTACTATTTATTATTATACACTGTACCATTGACCGTCGTGTGAAAGATACTAAGAGGAAGCAACGAAATATGTCAATGTGAGAGTAGTTGGAGGAGACTTGTAGCGGAGCAAAGAATCCATTCCTTGCAGAGAATACAAGATATATAGTCAATGCCAGTGAGTGGAACGCGGTCTGAAAGTCACCGTAAACGTGAACACAATCAGTTAAGATCCGAAATGGTTTATTACGTCCTTCCAATGATTGCTGAGCCAGAATCCATCTTCTCGGTCAAGAGGAATTTAGCATATTTATGGGAAATGCAGATATGCGATTAGTGCTACTTGTGAAATGCGTAGGTTTGGCGAGGGGTTTAAAGTCATTATGCCCATGCATTATGCAGGATTAGCAGCATCAAAGGGAGGGGATAGGGGTAGCATTAATTGTATAGTGAATATACAGCAGTGTGATATACATTAGGGTGGGTAGAATAATACATAGTGTAAGCAATACAGTATATAATTTAATGTTGGGTTTGTCTATGGCAGTATATAGTACGGTGTAGACTCGTGTGATGTAAGAGAATAAAGTTTAGATGGAAGCATATTATATTTTTTGCGACATAGAATTGTAATGTATTACTTACTGTTAGTAACTCAGCTTCTTGTAGAGTATATTTAGTATACTGATGATACTATGTAGTTTATACTTTAGTTGTTTACGTGGTGGTTTAGTTACTGCAGCTACATACTATTAACACTCATTCCCTTTATTAATGCTACCCCTATCCCCTCCCTTTGATGCTGCTAATTCTGCATAATGCACGGGCATAATGACTTTAAACCCCTCGCCAAACCTACACATTTCACAAGTAGTACTAATCGCATATCTGCATTTCCCATAAATATGCTAAATTCCTCTTGATATGCAAATTATTTTGTCAAGGCGCTCTTCGCCCCCTTCATCCCAGCTTAAATAGTCGCTCCAAGCCTGGGGCTTGTCATTCAGACTCTGTCTCCTCGATAGACCTGTTCTCCACCTGAGGACGGCTGCTTGCGTTGTGGCCGAAACATCGTGAGAATTATTTAATGTTTTATTTTTATTATTTTATTATTTCCATTCTACGTGACTTTACCAAAAGAACCAAGAAGATCACTAGTGCCAGTCATTGACAAGTCCAATCAGTTCCGCATCCTTCTGTACCATATAAGCCCATCTCTTCTCCAGCCCATATTGTGCCTGGAAAACGCTTGAATGAGTAACTACCTTGCACAGATTGTTACAGACAGTGCAGCAATCTTCAATGATGTACTCTTCTTCTATGCTTATGTGGCTATGCTGCCCACCTTGACCATCTATGCTAACCAGTTTGGTAAAGTATGTTAAAATCGTCCTGATCTGGTAGTCATCCAGTATTGGTTGACAAAGGGCTGTAAATGTAATTGTGGATATTATTTGATGTTTTTAAACGAATTTTCTAAATGTATTATGACATCACTGGCATGTTTTCTCTGCTCTTACAGCTCTCTTACCAATTGTCGTGGGAAGTGGAGAGAAAAGCGAGAGAGATGAGCAAGGGCAGTGGTGAGGTCATTCCTGAGGAGCCAGGTGAGTAATGCCTCATCCCCATGACCACTTGCAAATACAGTGATACCTTGACTTTGTCCACTTGACTTTCGTCGCTTCGCTCTTTTGGCCGTTTTCAATTATAACCACATTTCAAATTTCATCCACATACTTTTCTTTTTCGTTCGATTTCATCTAACCTTCCACGATGTTGGCGCCACGATGTTCGCGCCACGCGCCATCTTTTTCGTTAAGTCTTTGAATAGAAGTCGTTCAGTGAGCATCTTACCTATAAAAGTCATTTTTTTGTCTGTCTGTCTGCGCGGGTACCTTGTGACCTTTTTAACTTACAAACTGTGGGATTTACGGATCGAAAAAGTGCATGGATACCACGCCGTATGCCCCGGGACGAAAAAGCACTATTCGTATTTCACATCTGTCAACTTTAAAAGTAGTTAAATTAGCAATTTATTACTCTTATAAGCACAGGGTGGCGCCATGCGCGAGTTAAGCCGGCTCAAAGTGACGGTTGCCCAAGCAACGCACACACGCGATCGTTGGGGGGGAATTCTCATTCATGTTAAAAATGAAAAAAAAATACACAATTCTGAGGTAAGTTCTTCAGTGTGATGTCCCCCCCCCACCCCAATGTGTGCACTTACTACTATTGGTCGGTAGATACTACTACTATAGTCCTTTAGATACTATTACTGTAGAGCAGGCAGGACGATGGTGGGGGGGGTAGCAGCCCAGCCCCAGCCTGCAAAGGTGCCACCTCGGCCGGCTGGGCAATCTAAACGAGGCCGGGGGCTCTGCACGGGACTAGGCCTCACGAAGGTGTAATGGGTTCCGGAGACACTTGTAGAGGTAACTTCTTTATTACAATCCAACAGCAGTCCAACAGTCCTGATACTCTGTAACAACTCCCAGGTACACAGCCTAGGTACACAGCCTAGATACACTACTCTGGCTACGCTCTGGAACTCGCCCTCACAAGGTCGTAGAGTCGGGAGTTCCAGAGTCCCACCACTGGCTCTCACAGCGTCCCAGGGTCCTCAGATGGCTGGTCTTGGGTCTTGAGCTACGACTGGCCCTGATCGTCCAGGGAGCTCCCCTTTTATGCCTAGTCCCCAACGAGGGGTGGGGCCGTGTGCGCCCCCAGATATCCCACAGAGCACACACAGCCCCCCCCCGTTGGTGGCGCCAAGCGGCTTAAGCGCCTGGGCCGCCCGGGAACCCAACGCCTGGCGCCAAGAGGCTTAAGCGTCTGACCCGCCTGGGAACCCAGCGCCTGGCGCCAAGGGGCCCAAGCGCCTGGCCCGCCCAGGGTCCCAGAGCCCCCAGCAGCCCCTCCCTTCTTATGTCACTACATTACCCTCCTCTATGTAGCCTCCAGCCATCCCGGCTGTCAATAATTAGAAAGCTTAAATTAACGAAAGGGAGAGAGAGGAAAAAAAAATACGCGAGCCTCAACAGGAAAAGAAAAGAGAACAAGAAAGCAACCATAAATACCATAACCAACCTGTACAACTTTACACTATATACAAGCATCAATCAACAAAAAGGTGAAGCAATGACACGTGAACAAACGACCCGCGGCACACCTAGCCCTCCTCGGGATCCGCATAGCAAACGGGGAATTAACAACAACAAATATACAGATTCCGACGCGTTGGATGCACAACCACCGCATGGATGGCAGGGTTCCACACCACCCTGCCAGCCTCCCATCCGTCAGGTGGAGAGAAGGCGAAGACCAACATGTCGAGCATCCCTCTACACACACTAATCCGGACGTCTGTCTACGTCCCGGGTCGAGAAGTCGTACTTCAGGGCCGACCCATGTACTGGGCAAAGAAGTCGCACTTCAGGGCTGCTCCAGTATCTACATTTTAAAATATATATATAAAATTGACATGACACAAACTAAATAAATCTGCCTGCTCCTGTCCATAAATGGTGGCCGCACGCGCGAACCGCATCTCCAAGGCATCCCGTGCTTGCGTCCCAGCAGCCCTCAATGAGGACCACCACCAACATTACATGTCAACTGTTAGCACCCCCCGCCTTTCCAACGTGACGTCTCCATCCTAAAACCCTGCACGTCGGCCATATCAGGGAGGAATTTCCGTGTTACCACCCCACCGCCTTTCCGACGCGGCGTCACAACCAGTAGCACGCGTCGGCCATATCGGGGGGGGGGGACTTCAACCCAGTCTCTCTCCAAGACTCGCATCGCAGCATATAGCTGTACCGACCGAGCTGAGACCCAGTCTCTCTCCAAGACTCGCATCGCAGCATATAGCTGTACCGACCGAGCTGAGACGACCCATCGTTCACTCACTGCACAACATGCACCCTAACAACTGAGGGATACAGTCCCAACGTAACGGGACAACTACACCTGAACACCACGAATCTCCAGCCCACTGTTTCACCGCGCCTCGGAGTGTTGCAATCTCCGGGCCGTCAGGGCGAGCCTACTGCTCCAGACGCACCACGGAGGGTCTCAACCTCCGGGCCGTCAGGTCAAGCCATCAGCCATTGCATGACGGGACCACACTCTCCGAGCCATGTGAGCGCACAACCCACTAGGCTAGACATGCCACGGAGTGTTTCAATCTCTGGGCTGTCAGGTCAAGCCGTCAGCCATAGCATGACGGGACCACACTCTCCGAGCCATGTGAGCGCATCGCCCACTAGGCTAGACATGCCACGGAGTGTTTCAATCTCCGGGCTGTTAGGTCAAGCCGTCAGCCATAACATGACGGGACCACACTCTCCGAGCCATGTGAGCGCACAGCCCACTAGGCTAGACATGCCACGGAGTATCTCTATCTCCGGGCTGTCAGGTCAAGCCATCAGCCGTAGCATGACGGGACCACAACTCTCGTATTAGACACGCAACACCCACTGGGCCATCCTGGTCAGGATCTGCACCCCAAGATATTTGAGAGCCAGCACGACAATTCCAAATCTTTGGCAGCATGTCACCATCTCAAGATAAATGCCCCATACAGTCTATACATCGTTAACAATGACAGCACAAGCTATACATTAACAATCACGAACAAAGCTCAATACAAACCATACATTGTTAACAATCACAAGCAAAGTTTCGCACACACATTGACAACACTCACGAGCGAAGCTCCACACAGTTTACCCAACAACAATCACGACTCCCCGATGACAACGAAGAAAATGTCAAAAAAAATCATTAATCCGGAGCGTGTAAATGGACGAAGTGTCAGGGGCCTGGTCTCCCGACCTCCAACCTTTGGCCAGAGCAGAGGCGACGACCAGCGTGTCGGTCGATGTGCCGGCGCCGGTTACAGTAAGAATGGCGCCCTCACTGTCCGGTCGCAGCGCTGATGACGCGGTATGCTAGGTTGAAGCCAGCTGTCGTCCGGCGGTGAAGGTCGCAGCGCTGATGACGCGGCGTTGTTTGGTTGGACCACGTTGGGCCTGGAAGTGACGTTACTCCCAGCGGTCATTGCTCCCTCGACAGAAGTGACGATACACCCGGAAGTATCCCCCACATTTGTAGCGGGAACGGCGGTGGCGTCCACCATGTTTGTGGCGGCGGCGGGCTCAGGCGGGCGCTGCGCCACTTCTCTCCCTCCCGCCATCGCCTGTGAGCGCCGCATCTCGCCCAGGAGGGAGGCGGTGGCGCAGAGCAGTTCTGCGAGGCGAAGCAGCGCCTCCTCCATCCCTGCTCCCGACGCTGGAGAGGGGGCGGTCGGCGGAGCAGACAGCTGCTCAGCCGGCGGTGCGGCGTGGTTGTCGGCTGGCGGTGCAGCGTCGCTGTCGGCCGGCGGTGCGGCGTTGTTGTCGGCCGGCGTTGGCCGCCCCATCGCTGCTTGCTCCTCGACATGGCTTACTTCTTGTCTCCATGGCCACTTCTGACTCCAAATGTAATGGGTTCCGGAGACACTTGTAGAGGTAACTTCTTTATTACAATCCAACAGCAGTCCAACAGTCCTGATACTCTGTAACAACTCCCAGGTACACAGCCTAGGTACACAGCCTAGATACACTACTCTGGCTACGCTCTGGAACTCAATGTCACTACATTACCCTCCTCTATGTAGCCTCCAGCCATCCCGGCTGTCAATAATTAGAAAGCTTAAATTAACGAAAGGGAGAGAGAGAAAAAAAAATACGCGAGCCTCAACAGGAAAAGAAAAGAGAACAAGAAAGCAACCATAAATACCATAACCAACCTGTACAACTTTACACTATATACAAGCATCAATCAACAAAAAGGTGAAGCAATGACACGTGAACAAACGACCCGCGGCACACCTAGCCCTCCTCGGGATCCGCATAGCAAACGGGGAATTAACAACAACAAATATACAGATTCCGACGCGTTGGATGCACAACCACCGCATGGATGGCAGGGTTCCACACCACCCTGCCAGCCTCCCATCCGTCAGGTGGAGAGAAGGCGAAGACCAACATGTCGAGCATCCCTCTACACACACTAATCCGGACGTCTGTCTACGTCCCGGGTCGAGAAGTCGTACTTCAGGGCCGACCCATGTACTGGGCAAAGAAGTCGCACTTCAGGGCTGCTCCAGTATCTACATTTTAAAATATATATATAAAATTGACATGACACAAACTAAATAAATCTGCCTGCTCCTGTCCATAAATGGTGGCCGCACGCGCGAACCGCATCTCCAAGGCATCCCGTGCTTGCGTCCCAGCAGCCCTCAATGAGGACCACCACCAACATTACATGTCAACTGTTAGCACCCCCCGCCTTTCCAACGTGACGTCTCCATCCTAAAACCCTGCACGTCGGCCATATCGGGGAGGAATTTCCGTGTTACCACCCCACCGCCTTTCCGACGCGGCGTCACAACCAGTAGCACGCGTCGGCCATATCGGGGGGGGAGGACTTCAACCCAGTCTCTCTCCAAGACTCGCATCGCAGCATATAGCTGTACCGACCGAGCTGAGACCCAGTCTCTCTCCAAGACTCGCATCGCAGCATATAGCTGTACCGACCGAGCTGAGACGACCCATCGTTCACTCACTGCACAACATGCACCCTAACAACTGAGGGATACAGTCCCAACGTAACGGGACAACTACACCTGAACACCACGAATCTCCAGCCCACTGTTTCACCGCGCCTCGGAGTGTTGCAATCTCCGGGCCGTCAGGGCGAGCCTACTGCTCCAGACGCACCACGGAGGGTCTCAACCTCCGGGCCGTCAGGTCAAGCCATCAGCCATTGCATGACGGGACCACACTCTCCGAGCCATGTGAGCGCACAACCCACTAGGCTAGACATGCCACGGAGTGTTTCAATCTCTGGGCTGTCAGGTCAAGCCGTCAGCCATAGCATGACGGGACCACACTCTCCGAGCCATGTGAGCGCATCGCCCACTAGGCTAGACATGCCACGGAGTGTTTCAATCTCCAGGCTGTTAGGTCAAGCCGTCAGCCATAACATGACGGGACCACACTCTCCGAGCCATGTGAGCGCACAGCCCACTAGGCTAGACATGCCACGGAGTATCTCTATCTCCGGGCTGTCAGGTCAAGCCATCAGCCGTAGCATGACGGGACCACAACTCTCGTGTTAGACACGCAACACCCACTGGGCCATCCTGGTCAGGATCTGCACCCCAAGATATTTGAGAGCCAGCACGACAATTCCAAATCTTTGGCAGCATGTCACCATCTCAAGATAAATGCCCCATACAGTCTATACATCGTTAACAATGACAGCACAAGCTATACATTAACAATCACGAACAAAGCTCAATACAAACCATACATTGTTAACAATCACAAGCAAAGTTTCGCACACACATTGACAACACTCACGAGCGAAGCTCCACACAGTTTACCCAACAACAATCACGACTCCCCGATGACAACGAAGAAAATGTCAAAAAAAATCATTAATCCGGAGCGTGTAAATGGACGAAGTGTCAGGGGCCTGGTCTCCCGACCTCCAACCTTTGGCCAGAGCAGAGGCGACGACCAGCGTGTCGGTCGATGTGCCGGCGCCGGTTACAGTAAGAATGGCGCCCTCACTGTCCGGTCGCAGCGCTGATGACGCGGTATGCTAGGTTGAAGCCAGCTGTCGTCCGGCGGTGAAGGTCGCAGCGCTGATGACGCGGCGTTGTTTGGTTGGACCACGTTGGGCCTGGAAGTGACGTTACTCCCAGCGGTCATTGCTCCCTCGGCAGAAGTGACGATACACCCGGAAGTATCCCCCACATTTGTAGCGGGAACGGCGGTGGCGTCCACCATGTTTGTGGCGGCGGCGGGCTCAGGCGGGCGCTGCGCCACTTCTCTCCCTCCCGCCATCGCCTGTGAGCGCCGCATCTCGCCCAGGAGGGAGGCGGTGGCGCAGAGCAGTTCTGCGAGGCGAAGCAGCGCCTCCTCCATCCCTGCTCCCGACGCTGGAGAGGGGGCGGTCGGCGGAGCAGACAGCTGCTCAGCCGGCGGTGCGGCGTGGTTGTCGGCTGGCGGTGCAGCGTCGCTGTCGGCCGGCGGTGCGGCGTTGTTGTCGGCCGGCGTTGGCCGCCCCATCGCTGCTTGCTCCTCGACATGGCTTACTTCTTGTCTCCATGGCCACTTCTGACTCCAAATGTAATGGGTTCCGGAGACACTTGTAGAGGTAACTTCTTTATTACAATCCAACAGCAGTCCAACAGTCCTGATACTCTGTAACAACTCCCAGGTACACAGCCTAGGTACACAGCCTAGATACACTACTCTGGCTACGCTCTGGAACTCGCCCTCACAACGTCGTAGAGTCGGGAGTTCCAGAGTCCCACTACTGGCTCTCACAGCGTCCCAGGGTCCTCAGATGGCTGCTCTTGGGTCTTGAGCTACGACTGGCCCTGATCGTCCAGGGAGCTCCCCTTTTATGCCTAGTCCCCAACGAGGGGTGGGGCCGTGTGCGCCCCCAGATATCCCACAGAGCACACACAGCCCCCCCCCCCGTTGGTGGCGCCAAGCGGCTTAAGCGCCTGGGCCGTCCGGAAACCCAACGCCTGGCGCCAAGAGGCTTAAGCGTCTGACCCGCCTGGGAACCCAGCGCTTGGCGCCAAGGGGCCCAAGCGCCTGGCCCGCCCAGGGTCCCAGAGCCCCCAGCAGCCTCTCCCTTCTTATGTCACTACAAAGGCACTCTGTTCATAGTTAGTGTTATAGTTTTGATATTTACGACTATAGAGTCAGCATGTACCACTGTAGTGGTAGTAGATACCGCCACAGTCAGCATGCACCACTGCAGTGATAGGAGATACTGCCACAGTTGGTATGCACGACTGCAATGATAGCAGGTACCGCCACAGTAAGTAGGCACCGCTGCAGTGATAGCAGGTACCGCCGCAGTCGGTAGGCACCGCCGCAGTGGTGGTAGGCACCGCCGCAGTGGTGGCAGGCGCCGCCGCAGTGATGGCTGGCGCCGCCACAGTCGGTAGCAGGCACCCCTACTACTGCTATCGAGTCGGTAGATACTACTATAGTTAGTAGATACTACTGCAGTCAGTATACACTACTGTTGTGATTGTAGATACTAATATGGTCAGTAGCTACTACTATAGAGTCAGTAGATACTACTCTAGTTAGTAGATACTACTACTCACAGATACTACTATGGTCAGTACATACTACAACAGTCAGTAGAAACTACTACAGAGTCAGTAGTTTCGACTGTAAAGCTAGTAACTACTATAGTCAGTGGATACTACTATAGTCAGTGGATACTACTATAGTCAGTGGATACTACTATAGTCAGTGGATACTACTATAGTCAGTAGTTACTACCATAGAGCTGGTAGATACTGCCAAAGAGTTAATAGTTACTACTATAGAGTCGGTAGATACTACTGTAGGGTCAGTAGTTACTACTACGGTCAGTAGATACTACTATACAGTCAGTAGGTACTACTGTGGTGTCTTCAAAAATTACTCACACCGACACGTTGTAACAAGTCACCTGCTTCCACTTTATTTCACCTGTTCTTGCGCCAGTTGTAGGCACTCCTATAACTATCTGTATGGTCACATACACCTCACTTCTCCCCGCTCTTATCTATTCTGCACCTCACTTATCCTGCACTCAGCAACTCTGCCCTCAGCGACTCTGCACACAGCAGCTCCGCACTCAGCGACTCTGCACACAGCAGCTTAGCACTCAGCAACTTTGCACACAGCAGATTCACACTCAGCAACTCTGCATCTCCACCGCTGCCCTCACCTACTCTCCCTCATACCCGCTCACCCGTCTGTCCCAGGCGGGGGGGTTCAGCCAACACCCGCCCAGTGACGGCGTGAGGATTGAGGGTCCCATTGACGGCTGGAGCGGAAGCGGTGAGATGTCTTTACTCTTGGTTCCCCAGGCAACAAGAACTCCCTCCGCTTACGCACAATCTCCTCTACACTACTATACAGTCAGTAGCTACTACTAGGCTCAATAGATACAATAACAGAGTTGGCAGATACTATGAAAAAGTCGGCAGATACTACTATAGAGTCGGTAGATACTCCTCACTCTATTTACTGTAGGGTGTGTAGATATATATGCCTACGTGGGGGTAAAACATTTTTCGGAAACCTTTCTATAACTTTTTGGACTTCTACAAGCATCTTATAATTTTGTTGACGGACAAATGGACCAACGGCACGCCGGGCTTTCACAATAGCTTAGTATTTGTGTATGTATATGTTATGTTTTTAAAAGAAGTTTTGAAATATATTTTTCCCCCGGGCAACGCCGGGTACTTCAGGCTTGTCTCTTATATTTGTGTTTAATCATATATTATTCATACTGTACTTATTTCTGTGATTATACTGTAAACAACTCATAGTTATTTTTGTGATAACAGTATAATACTACAATGTTCATAGTTAATTCCGGGATTATAAAACACGTGTACAGTATTCATACTGTGCTTATTTTTGTGATTACTGTAAAATACTTATTTTTGTGCGTTAACATATTAATAATGGGTCCGAAGTGTGGTGATAGTAAAGCTTAAAGAACCCATAAGTTATCATTTTGTTTATTTATTTAGTTTTTTTATTTATTCTTGTGTTTATTTTTATTTTACTTCTGTTTATTTAGGTTTCACACGCATGTGTTATCTAGCTACTGTGGTTATTTGCATGTACGTTTTTATATTTACTGTAGTTATTTGCATGTACGTTTTTCGCCGGCCAAAATAAATTTACAAGCAAAATAAAGGCTCTGCTTTGACATTCATCCATTTTTGAAATTCGTCTAAGCTCTGGTCCCTAACCAGACAGAAGTGCAAGGTGTTCCTGTAGGTTTTTATGCCCAGGGATGGTCTGTGATGATGAAAAGTAGCTTGTGAGTGTGTCTGAAATTGTTTTTATCACTGTATACTGCCAGCTATGACATGGATCAGAGGCATATATACGAACACAAAGAAATAGCTAAAAAGTCAACGAATAAGTGCGATTTCCCCACACCAACAGCCTCGCTTGTCCAGCCACACCCCTATTCTCGAATTCTCCTCGCTGTCCCTGCTCTGTCACTCACCGCCGTAATTACACTTCCCCCGCCATTGGATGCCGTGCTCCCCCTCACGTGACCCTGTCAACGTTTGTCTCATCAACCATCATTAGCACGTCCATTAGTAACCATGGTCCCGGGGAACCATACTGTCCCACTATCACTCCGTACTGTCTTTACATAAATACAGAAAAAAGGATAAAATGGTTCCGGAAACAAACATAAATCGGCCACAATATGGGTTTGGGAAAGACACATTGCTAAACGTGATGGTGACCGTTGGACGACAATTGGGAGGAAAGACAACCAGAGGAACATTTCCAATAGGACGACCACCATGAAGGTGGAGCGATGAGATCAGTTCATGTGTAGCAGTGAGATGAATGGTAACAGCACTGGATCGTGAAGGATGGTGACATCGTGGAGAGGCCTTCATCCAGCAGTGGATAGAAAATGGTTGATTATAATGATGAAATATTACGAATTCAAGTGTAAACATTTCTTATTTCTTTCGAATAAAAAAAAGTTGGCTATTGTCCAGGAAATCTTGTTCATTGTGCAATTGCTTGGAAATATGTGGTATGTGCATCTTATACTGTATACTTGAAAAAAATATTTAAAAGTAAAATGATTGTACATGTTTAGAGATTTGCATATTTACATTTCATAACTGAGAAATTAGTATTTATTTTATGTTTCCTTCAGCCTGCAAGCTGTGTGGCTACGCAGAAAACAACGCCTTACAATATGGGGAGAAAATCACTGATCCAGAAAGTGGCATCACAGCCCATTACTATTGCCTGGTAAGCAACTTTTACATGCTGTCATCTCTGGTATATTTGCCTTTTGGGGGGGTGGAGCGATGACACAGTGATTAGTGTACTGCATTATAAACTCGGTGATCAAAATTTCATTCATTAGCGTAGCTTCCCACACTTTCTCTTTCACTGCCCTATCATCCATGTTAAATGCTCGAATGAGAGGAAAAGGTCGACATAAGTGTGAGCCTATAGATGCCTAGCACCCCGTTTCTCACCTGTCTCCTCCATGGCTACAAGATACAAACAGCCCTGCTCACTGGCAAAATGCATATGAAATATTACAATAGAAAAAAATTATAGTTGATTACGTAAGTTTCCTTTCTGTTTAGCGTGTAATCATTCAACCTGAAGTTAATATAAAGCTGGAAGTTGGTGCACTGCTATAAATGAAATGTATTTAATTTAAATACAACTAATGCATGTGATTCTTTGTATGTGCCATGATATTGACTACGTTGGTTGTGAACTAACATTTGAACGTGATTTTGATTCTCCGGTTTAATAGATTTTTTCAAGTGGCCTATGTCAGCGGGGAAATGACTCGGAGGGCTTATATGGCTTCCTCCCAGATGACATCATCAAGGAAATAAGAAGAGCAAACCGTTTGGTCAGTTTTCACTGCAAAGTTTTTTATTTATGATTTGTTAGTTGGAGCAATGAGCCTTTGCAGCATTTGCTATGTGTGTTCAATTAGCATACACTGCATACGTTTAAACATTGCATGTTATTTAGACCTCTAACCTTATAAGAGCCCATTCGATTGGACATCTTATTTTAAATGAATACGTTGGAGAATATAAGAAAATGGACAGTGAATGGCAAAAACAAAAAGTTAAAATAAAACAGTGCAAACAATTTAATTAGATAATGACATCACTGTTTTTGCAAATGTCGATCAACTTAATACATCGTAACAGATTAGTGATGTTGTAATTTGATATTCTAAGGTAGGCAGGTAGAATATTACTAAAAATATATATGTTTTACAACATTAACTGCTGCCAAGTAACTGATCACTTATCGCAACTTAGAATTGATTGTAAATCTCATTAAGCTCCTACCTGAATTTATCTGATTTTAGTGCTGTGGTCAAAGTCCTGAATTTCCTTGGTAGTTTCATGTATTTTAAACTTGTGTGGCAAGACTTCATGAAATAAATGATGTAACAAATTGACTTGTCTATAGTGTTTCCATAATTATGAGTAAGTTACAACAAATTCAGTGTTTACATAGTAGTTCTTGTTTGATATTGACCCTTTCCCATTCCAATGACATACATGTACGTAAAATAACTTTATCGGGACCAAGGCTCCCACAAGGCCATGCGGGGAGGGTGTGTGGCACAGTTGGGCACCAGCTATCATAGAGTGCGGTTGTGTCGCTACAGTTCTCTGGGGTGAGTACTATGTCTTTAAAAAAAGTGCTATGCCTCTAAATAAAATTACCGCTGAACCACTTGCACGTTCCGAGAATCAGCGGTGAACAGGACCCACCCTGCTACTTGGAGGCATCTTGGAACGGGAAAGGGTTAACTGTCGTGCATTTGGTCTGTGTTTACTCCGCTCTCTCATACCACCACAGAAATGTATGCTTTGCAAGCAGAAAGGAGCTGCTATTGGGTGCAATTTAACAAGTTGCAGAAGAAAATTCCACCTGCCTTGTGGAATAAAGCTTCATTGCCTCTTTCAGTTCCAGGGCACTTTTCCGTAAGTTTTTTCAAACATCCATGGCCACAAGGCTAGTTTATGAAGTAAAAGCAATGTTCACAGCCCATACGTGAAGCCGAGACTACACATAGCATTTTACAGCACATAAAGTTGATTGTCACCTGGAAAAACGCTTTGTCAATCCATCATTCTTTTGTCACTGTCTTCACCCTGTGTATTTTGGTAGCTGAATAATGGTATTTTTTTTCTTCCAAGATTTCTGGTTAAAAATAAAATATCTTACTGTTAATTTACTTTTGTTTAAGACCACAGTCGATAGTACCTTGTTGTTCTGGGATATAGCACCCACTCAGCGACACACAGGGAAAGGGGACTCGGTGCACATACTGGATATGCATTGATGTTGGGGCCAAATCTTAATGTGTTAACTATTTTGACAACACAATAAAATGTGTGTTGGCAGATTTTATAAAGTTTGTATATTTCACTTGCGCCTGACAGTCCTGCTCGAGGCTATAGGGGGGAGCTTTGTTTTTGGAGCTCTCCCTCCGCCAATATAACAACACGGTGAGAACAGATCTGGTCAGTTCTTCTTCCGCCCTACATCCACATGATCATGGAAGAGCGCCTTCATCGCCATACTGCTGCTGATGTCGGGTATCGAGCGAAACCCTGGACCAGGGCTCCTCAACTTTGGATTGATCAATGCACGTTGCATAGTCAACAAGACGGCACTGATCCAGGATCTGATCAACGATTGTGGACTCGACATATTGGCCGTTACCGAAATCTGGGTGTATGATGACTCACCGGACGTAATTATGAAGCTGCATCTAACGGATACGCTATTGTACATCAGCAGCATCGCGGCAAAGCCTGGCACCAGCAGCCCCACATGGTGGAAGGATCCTACTGATTCACCGTAGAGACATCTGGCCATCCAACTCATTAAAAATCACCGTCATTCGAGCTGCTGTGTGAACATAATGCACAGCAGCATGCAGGGGCTTACGATCGTTGTCATCTATCGACCGGCGTCTTCACCGCTGTCGAATTATTTTCTGAGCTTTCTGGTCTGCTAGACTGTGGGTCACTTGGCTCTTGCGATATCATCTGTGGTGACCTATATTGTCCCGGACCGACCGGTTCTTGTGGTAAAATCAACAGTGATCTCGCCGAGATTATTGCCAGTCACAGTTTTATCCAACACGTCTGTGGCACAACATGTCACTCGGGAAATATACTGGATAACATCTTCACATCCACCAATACTGTGACCGACATCGAAGACGTGGGTATTTCAGATCACAATCTCGTGATGTGCAAAGTAGCATAACCAGTTATTCGCCCACCCGTCACAACAATATACAGAGACTGGAAACGACTGGACCACGATTTTTTCCGTCAGATTATCCGGGCATCATCAGTGTGTCTAAATCCTGCATCGATGGTTGATTCATTTGCAGCTCACTTAGAAAATGACATCACTTCTTGTTGAACTCGTGCCCATCCGAACAAGCACAAAGAGCCACCTGCAAATCTGCCAATCGACTAATTATTGAGTCTCTCAGATTGTTCTATGCTCTGCGTGTAAATGAGTTGGCTCATGACCCCCGTGCTCTGTGGCGCGTCGTGAAGGGGATCCTACACTCCAACTTCCCTTCAACTAGTCAACCAGGTCTTTCCACAGTACTTGTGACATAATTCAATAAAATAGTGACAAACAAGACGGCAATTTATAACTTTCAGACAACGCATTCTCCCGGTTTGCCGTCTGAGTTTGATTAAACTGGAATCAATGCAAAACTCGAGACTTCCGCACCAACGCCGGTGGCAGATATGTCAATGTTCATCACATGGCTGCCAAATAAGATCGCCGCTAGAATGCATCCACATGTTGATTCTCAAATCATGGTCGGACATGCTTGCACTGCTGATTGTCCACCTGGAAAATATTTCATTAAGCGAGGGCTGTTTCCCAGACCGATCCAAAATGGCGCAGGTACTGCAAGATCTTCCATTGCTCGCTGAGTTGCATTGGCTTCTGGTTGTCAAACAAATGCATTATAAGGTCGCACTCATTACACACAAAGTGCCTGCCACAAATGAATCACAATACCTTGCTGATATTATAAAGGAGCAGAAACCATCACATTGAACTCCGGTCATCCTCACAGCAACTTTTGGCTAGCCAGCAAACAAAGACGGTCACTGCATCTCGGGCTTTCAGATGTGCTGCGACCGTCTGGAACGCTCTTCCTTCCGATATTAAGAAGCCACCGGAGCTATCCTCTGTTAAATCTAACTTGGATTTTTTTTTTATTCCTTCTTGTGTTTAGTTTCCTTCACCTCCGATTAGCACGGTTAGCTACGTACAGTGGGAAAGAAGTTATACATACGTGACGTCATATTGCCATGCATGTAGATGTGATGTTACATGGCAATGTCACATCATAACCTCTCCATGTGGCCATTAATCTCTATTTACTTCTCCTTTCTAGGTCTGTCATCTCCTTTATCTTGCTAATTTTTATTTCTTACCTAAATCTTTGTTATTTCTGTCTCTTGCTTCACTAATCTGTATCTCGTTTTTCTAATTTGAGTTATGCCTGTCAGCAGTGCTTTGCTTTCAAAAGGTTTACCATACGTGATTTAATACTACACCCAAACATTTTCACAATAAGCTAATTATTCAGTGGTACTGCAATGGCACAAACAACACAAAACTGAACACATTCGTCAATAACAGAATTTTGACCCTCGCGATAAGCAGACCGCTGACACTCACCAACTTGTGGGGTTTTTGTCTTCCCCTTGGTTGCTGACCTTTGCTTGGGCACTAAAATGTCTGTCTTGATAATTTAGTATACTTTACAGTTCCCAGAGTGGTCATCAGTACGATATTTTTTTTTTCATGTGATCTATTTTTCTTGGTGTTGCTTCAGGTCATTCAGACTATATCTGCAATTCGTTGTCAAGTAAATATGCAGTTTGTATACTTAATATATAAAATGGGGATTTCTGTTTTTAGGTCATTCTGCGCAGAACACCGCCCAGTCCAGCTTGAAGCGAGGGGCCGTGCTGACAGTGAGCCGCAGACTTGTGTGCTGTGTCTAGAAGTCATAGACGATCTATCATCTTTTGACGCTCTGTGCAGTGCTTCCTGTTGCAACACTTTCTTCCACCGCTCCTGCATACAGGTGAATAGCTGAGACCCTGTCTATAGTTGTATGTATCACTTTAGTCATTCCTACTGCCATTACCTGGGACATTGTTTTTGGTAAATTTCAATGCGCTGTTTTATCTTGCAAAATCTTGGAAGCTAAAGAAGGCGTGAGTGGATAATTCTTGGATTGGTGATCACCATCCACAAGGCAGATTGTAATGGGCTGCTGCTGCGGGCCTCTGTTGTGGGTAATGGGGAAGTGCAGCAAAATACATTGTACTGTACGTCTATGCACCCATGTCTGTGCTCCCTGCCTTTGCCGACCCGCAGTAATCAACATGGTTAAATTATATTAAATAACCCCCCATGACCTGCATATTGTGGGCAGGTTCTCTTATAGCATTGGGTTGACAAAGTACAAGTCCATTTTTTAAAATCTAAACCTCGATTGATATATAGGTAACTTAATGATCTCTTGTAGTGGTGTATCCTATAATAATACTAATATCCTGACATCCGTGGTAGGACATGGAAATAAGCATTTCCGTATTGCGCGTTTTACCAAAATTACACTTGCACTTTTTCACAGCATAACTTGCTTTTGTTCCACAACAGCAACAGGCGTTGCACTCGGGATTGTTCTTCTTTCGCTGTCCCATCTGCAACAACAATGAGAAGTTCCAAGCTGAAATGCTTCGCATGGGTATCCACATCCCTGAGAGGTAAACCGCTAAAATATTCAAATATTGGCACTATTATTTGGATTGTTGTGGAACATCGTCAAAGGTCTACTTTCCTATTTATTTTCTATCACCAAGGTGTATCCCAGTTGTGCTACGTGCATTATGAAATGTGACAGAGCATGTTTCCATTCTGCAACTTGCTACTGACAGCTAAATGTGTGTTTATTTGGTGCAATTACTGACCAGGCAAAGTCCCATCAACTCGCTACGCTTGAGAACCGAGTTTATTTTGGGAGGATCCCCAAGATTTGACCCCAGAATCTCGGTAATGCTTGCTGTTCGTTTTGCCATGGGCACTGTAAACCCGCTGAAACTATTTTAAATAAGACCGTGACTGGAAATTAATATGCTTTGGGTCTTTCGGTAAAGCCACGTAGATAGAAAAAAATAACAATATCACAACGTTTCAATCACAACACAAGCAATCGTCATCGGGTGAAAAAAGAGGGTTGTGTTGTATCTGATGACGATTGCTTGTGTTGCGATCGAAACGTCGTGATATTGTTATTATTTTTTCTATCTACGTGGCTTTAACGAAAGACCCAAAGAATAAGAATTCCTGCAGTCACGAAAGCTTAAAGTCAAAATTTAAATGAATAGATGCTGCCCTGGTGTTTAACGGTTCGCACACTGGACTTGCAATCCAGCGGTCGCCAGTTTGATCTCCCGGCACGACAGTTGAAACACTGAGACACGTTTCTTAAATCCACCCCGTCTCTGTCCACCCAGCAGTATAAACGAGTGCTGCACAGGTTATTATGATGCATGTGGTGGGGTATCGAGTGGGTATTCCCACCTCTTCCAAGATGTCTAGCCAATGTGGAAAAGTAGGCCAAATACCCTCTAGTTTTTTACCAAATTTTTGTTTTCGCAGATTTTGGAGAGTTCTTTAAATGTTACTTTAAATAGATCTTTACACTATCAGTTCTATCACTTATGTTTTTAAGAGGTACAAATAAATGTTATGATATATATTTTGATGTAATATTTCTAACAAGCCTTGTAGTTAAGGAGTTAAGATGCATGGCCATATGTGCTATATATATATATGACAAAAAGACAATTGTTACTTGGTAGTAGTATCCTCCCCCCCTGCAGGATTAAAACAAATCTGCAATTGATAAAAGCTAAATTTGAGATTGGGATTCATTTGTTAAAGGGATGCATCGTGGGAGCGTGACGAGAACGCCTTTCAAGACCTACTGATACAGTACCAGCGCTGTGACATCAAACGCTGCCAATGTGCAATGGGACGAGATTACAACAAAGCCAACAGGTATGTGCACACAGGCTACAAGCCATTCCTGACCTGCTCAGGGAGTTATGCAATTCAACACTCCACTACTTCGTCACAGCAATGTGTTCGACCAAAGCGAATAAGGTTTCTGGATGCAGCAACTGTGTTAAGATAATATACAGGTCCGTTATGAGCGTGGTTAGCATTTAATATAAAGACATAATTTTCATCGTCATGTATCACTAATAACATTGATCTACAGCCAAAATGCTTCCAAAATAAATGTAGTCCAACTTTAATAATTCTGGGTCAATGAGAATGAAAATGATGCTTAAAATTGTTGATTGGCTCTAGTTTTCAAGATATGCTACTGGGTCAGTGTGTACGACCCTTGACTTGGGAATGGCGGAGGATATGTGAGTTATAAAGGGAAGGGATCTCAATTTAAACCAGAAATGACTAAAATACATCTTTGACTGGATTTATGAATAAATCTATGACTGGGTTTGGACAGGACTTTCTTTTTGAGCAAAACAATGAATGATGCAATCTGAACCTGGTATTGCATCATACATGATATGAATTCCATCATGTTATTCCTAGACGTCATGGATGATGCAATTGTAGTGGGTTAAATTCAGGCGCACACTGGATTTTGGAGGCAACACTATTTATCAGCTAACACAACAGGTAACACTTCACATAACGACTTAAGGTGGTAGCCACCATTCCTAACTTAGCTAACCCACGGGGGCACTACATCACTGGACCAGGACAGCCCAACCCGCTGCCTGGTCCACTAGCGGAGACCGGAGAGCTTCATCCCAGAGATGACTCAGCAGAACAGCACAGAACAGCCCAGCTCTCTGTCCACGTCCCACTTATAACCACTCCGGCATGGCCAGCTCCACCCCAGGCCACGCCCCCTTCCCGATCCCCAACCACGTGACCCCCCTGGGGCCCCTGGCCCCCCTTTATTCGGTCACGTGTCTTGTTGGGTTCACGCAGAGTGTCACGGCCCGACACGACCCCCGTGACACCTGCCTACAGCCCCCATACCAAGCCAATAGAGTAGTGTCGTTCCACTACACTACATAATCATAACTAGGCTTACACCCCTCTGCTGAACAAATTGCCCTATATCAGCTCGAGAAATCATACAGTATCGTGCTCTCTTATTTGTCAGTGTTTGATTTTGCAAAGGGACTTTTCTGTTTAGCCAAAGTGAGCAAAGATGCCTCGTAGTTGTGTGAGCAAAGCAGATAACGTCTGCTGTTTGTGATGAAGTGACATTTGCATCACAAAAGCGCAGTATAACCACTATGGTTAAGAAAGCCTATCATCTTTATTTTGGCTGCAAAATTGGAGATCAGGACAAAATGTGGTCCCTACACATGCTGTAACACTTGTGCAACAAAACTTCACCAGTGGTTGAACAGGAAAAGGAAATCCGATGCCTTTTGCAGTGCCAATGATTTGGAGAGAGCCAACAAATCATATTGGCAATTGTTACTTCTGCATGGCACCTCCAGTTGGGCAAAAGATGTGTCAAAGAAGAGAAAGTGGACTGTGAATTATCCAAACATTCTATCAGCTATACACCCGGTACCCCACGGAGAAGGACTGCCGGTTCCTGATGTACCAGAATCATTCTGGTCCTGAACATCAAGGTCACATGACCCAGATTTTCTCCCATCCTCCTCCTCTGAGCCACACCTCATAACACAAGGTGAACTGAAAGACCTTGTCAGGCATTTGGAACTACCCAAGAGTAAGGCAGAGCTGTTGGGCTCCAGACTGCAGCAGTGGAATCTCCTGGCAGGTGATGTTAAGGTTTCCATGTTCTGTGACCATGAAAAGGATCTTGTCCCATTCTTCTTCATGGAAGGTGATCTTGTAGCCTGCAACAACATCGATGGTGTGATGGCAGCCCTCAACATCGTTCATGATCCAGATGAGTGGAGACTGTTCATTGATTTATCGAAGATGAGTCTTAAAGTTGTTTTGCTGCATAATGGCAATGTTTTGCCATCAATTCCAGTTGGTCATACAGTCCATATGAAGGAAACCTATGACAACATGAAACAACTTTTGAGGTGCATAACTATGACCAACATCAGTGGCAGCTTTGTGGAAATTTGAAGGTGGTTGCTCTCTTGCTTGGTCTGCAGACTGGATACACAAAGTACTGCTGTTTTCTCTGCTAATGGGATAGTCGTGCGAGAGATTACCACGACATCAAGATAGATTGGCCACTCCGACAGTCATTGGAGCTGAGGAGGAAAAGTGTTCAGCATCCACCTCTTGTTGAATCAAGGAAGATTTTGTTACTACCCTTACACATCAAGCTGGGTCTGATGAAGAACTTTGTCAAAGCCATGGGTAAAACACAAGCAGCTTTCAAGTACCTCCGTGGAAATTTTCCAAGGTTAAGTGCAACTAAGATAAAGGAAAGTATCTTTGTTGGTCCTCAGATTCGTGAACTTCTTCGAGATTATGCATTTGACAGTGCACTGCGTGACAAGGAAAAGATGGCATGGAAAGCTTTCCAGTTAGTGGCAACACATTTTCTCGGAAACAACAAGGCAGACAACTACAGGGAGTTGGTGAAAAGGCATATAAAAGCTTTGTAGTTGCAAGATGTCACTAGATAAAAAATTTTGCACTCTCGAGATTTTTTTCCGACCGAACTGCGGAGCAGTGAGTGAGCATGGCGAGCGATTTCACCAGGACATTGCGACAATGGAGAAACGCTATCAGGGCAAATGGAGCCCATCAATGCTTGCAGACTATTGCTGGACAGTGACAAGAGATGCTCCATTTAATGAATACAAGAGACGAGCCAAGAAGCGCTGAGTAGACAGTGAATAAGGACTAAACTATGTACATATATACATAATAGTTTTTTTGCCTTTTGTTTCATAATACATGTTATTTATATAACCCTTTTGCAAATGTTTTAAGTGTTACATGAACAGGCCAAGTGACGTGTTATCATGTAAAGCGCAACCATGAACACATGAAAAGACCTAGGTCTACAATTTGAGTAAAACTCTACTAATATACATAGACGTAAAATGTAAAAACTGTAATATCTTGGGAACAATCAATTGTTTTAATTGTCATATTTTAATTGAGCACATTAAAATCCATAATAAATAGCATGTCATCTCAGAAGTAGACGTCTAAAAAATTGTAGATCAATGTAATTTTACATTTTGTGTTACTCATAAGATTAAACTGGAAACCAGCTAAATGATTCTTCAAGCAACTATATAACATGGCCATATTTTCCACGTTTCTGAATTATGTCGTACATATTTTCCAACATCAAGTTGATGTTGGGTTTTTGTTTAGACCAAATATCGATTTAACCAAGAGGTTAATTCAGCTCGATCTCTTTGTGGTTCTGTATGCTTTGTTTTTGTGACCGGAATATCTTTTTTGAGTTGTATAATCGATAACCAGGTTCCAACCTTGTTGTTTCTCTCACGAAATATTCATTTCAGTAAGTGGGAGGTGACGCGCTGCGACTGCTGTGGTGCAGCCGGCGCTCATCTGGCATGTGCGGGACTGAAAAGCAACCAAACTGACTGGTTCTGCCATGGATGTCGTCCGCTCCTGGCGAGGAGTAAATCGCGTATGTGCATAAGCTGCTAAGGATTTTTTGTTTGTTGCTGCTGTCGCCAATTACGATCGTGTAAGGTTAAAATCTTACGTGCGGTGTTTTTGTTTGCAATGTTAAATTTTTGTTAAAAAAAAACCACGGCTGCATTTGTTCTAGATCACAGCTGAGCGGCCTCATACATTTTTTTAAAATAAATTGTAATTTGTATCATGGAGACTAAGTAACCAAATACATAAGCAGACTGTCTCCTTCATACTTGTCCCTCCACTTTACACATCGATAATTACTTCCTGCTCATGGGATTGTTATAGAGATTGGTCAAAAAGGCCCCTAAATCTAAGGACCAAGATGTTATTTATTAAAAAAATGTATGCTGAAACAGAACCACAGTGGAATACACAAAGGTTAACTTAATAAATATCACTTGCATACACTATGTTGGCAATGTGAGTGATATTCTACATCGGACATACTGTAATTGTATTAAACTGCATCGTATGTGTAATTCATGATTTCAGCGCATGGCAAGATTGGATCTCCAAAACTGCAGCTTTCGTTTCCTTCATCTCCTCTGGATCCTGAGATGGAACGCAGGGATAAAAGCAGCTTCAGCCCATCGCACACGAAAAACGAAGATGCCATGCCCCTCTTCAAACATACGGATGGCAAACAGGGTGCACATTCTGCTACGCCGCCACAGTCTGCATACAGACGAGCAATGGGCAATAAAGATGCACCAGGATACCCAGTTTCTAGCCCTGAGGAACCGAGTCCGTTAGGTGGTAAGGTGAAGAGTAAATGTGTTCGAGGGCTTCTTGATCACCAGGTCAATAGAATGGTGAGAAAATCTGATAAATGCAAACGTACCATTAGCCATTCCTTGACAGATGTATTGCCACTTACAAAAAAACATTCAAGCGGTCACAAAAAAAGTAAGACGAAGCTTACCTAGCGGGCATGAGAACAACACGGCTCCTCTGGCTCTTGAGATGGGACAAGCACTCGCTGGCCACGTGGAATTAAAGAGGTGTATAACATTTGTATCATATGTAAACTATTGGTAAAGGTGGAATTTGGTGATGGTATGTTGGGTGATGGGAATCTTATTGGAACACAATTCACCAGGTTGAAGAGCTGAATGTGCGTAAGCCGTTTTGAAGGTGGAATACCAAAAATGTGCAAGTCACATTTTCATCTGAATGGATCTGCTTGGCAAGCATAACTTGACTTGACTGAACAAATACTCCACCATATTGGTTGCAGAGTAATACAAACCGTGTTATTTCCATTGTACTTGTTATTTTCTAAGTTCACTGGAGCAGCAACTTGATAACATCAAATATTTTTTTCAATGCCAATAAGCAACTATTTGGCGTAGAAGTTAAAAACACAGCTTCTAAATGTATCCCCATTATGAGATAAATATTTGCGTTGTTTTACTGTGTCAATAAAAGACACTGGCTTCAATTCTCGACAAACCTTAGACATGTCCTTGACAATGATGAATGTCTCTTTTTGTGTTTTAATAAAGGGCTGCACAATGTTCAGAATGCTAGTTTGATCTTTTAAGTTATTACATCGATCACCTGTAATAATGCCTTGCATCTGTAATATGAGCAAACCATGTATGTATTTTTTACTTCTTTCACACCGTACGTAGTGAACCGCGTTAATCGGAAACCATAACTCGCTAATTTGCAAATGCCTGTATATTGCTTTACAGTTTTCATATGATTTTACTCAAGGATATACCAGACAACACTGGCATCATGTTGAACACTTCCATATCCTGTAAGTTCTGGATCGTTTGAAATGGTGTCCAACTTTAAGCTCCTCACACGGTTTACCTTAGGTGTAAATCTCCTTGGTCCATTTTCACATGCAAAAAAAATAAACCTTTTCTTTCTATTCCATTATTACTCGTATGCCAAGTTTTACCTTTACCATTTATGAACAAGCTTTGAGAAAATCTTCATGTAATTATCGGCTTTGTTCTGTGCTCGTCTTCAAAGTATACCGAAAGTATTACCGTTTTTCTTTTATATGTAATGTATTAATGTATGAACCGTATCCAGCTACACTGATTTTTCTGATTTAGCCAAAAATAACAGTTCAATAACCAAAGGCAAGTGGAAAAGCATGATTTGGTGTACCACAAGCCTCAGTGTTGTTTAACAATCTGCAGGAGCTAGTTTGAGTTTGTTTCAAAGTGGTAATAATTAGTTTTGATATGTCTACAGGGCGTCTCGGAGCTTGACGTCACACCTCGTCTCAAAACATTTGAAAGTGGACCAATCAATTGTCTTAAGCCTTATACTGACCTCGTTAGTCAATCAGGATTGTCTATAAATTACAAAAAAATTCCACGATGGTAACTTTTCATTATACATTGCCTAATATATGTAAAGCACTCGTGGTTATATATACACACGAGGTTTTGCTACATGTCAATCACTTCTGTTCACAAACTTTTTTTTACCAAAAAGTATTTCTAAGCATCACGTCTCGCCAATCTATTGAAACATTGAATCAATGACGACTGTCGGTATTGAATCTGGTGTTGGATATATTCACCTTCGTCTGCCTCAGTGGGTCGGCAACCAAAATGACAGATTTTTTTGTCACGAAATTCGGCAAAACTCTTATTTCAAGAGCCGGAATGGAATGTGGTGAATACGAGACGGTGGCCCTTGATAAGTAACGTTACGAAGCAGTACTTACAAGAGCCGCATGCGGCTATGTAATATTAATTTAGTAATCGTCTACACGTGTAAATACATTGCCCACGACATGCTCTCAGTACCGCCTTTATAGTTTAGTAGTTGTTTCTTGGGTCAGAGTTTAACTACGTGATAGTTTTTTATTTGCTTCGTTCATTTATTTGGATGGTTAATCTTTCAATGTTTTCAATATTGCGTTTAGCACGCAATTTAGACAATGTGTTAGAATAATTTTACATGTTGCGTGTTCAACCTGAGCGCTAAATCCGTGGTCGGTTTTGAGTAAACATCTCGACAAATGGATACGTTGGTAGTGTAACATTGGGATATATGCAGTGTTTTGCATCGTCTTGAATACGCTAATATGTTATGTTTCGTCTGCAAGCTAGAGACGTGTACTGTCGTATATTTGTTGCTGTTAGAGATGTTATCTCACTTTAATTTAACTCTGTGATATGTCATTAGGTGCTGCTTTAATCACGTGTGTAGCGTAGATGTATGTTTTTCAGCGTGGTCGAATGAAAATAATACAAAATAAACGATTTGGCGGCACGACTAAATCGTGTTTATTTGGGGTCGGTGAGACGCAGGGGATATGAAAGTGCCGTGCTGTAACACCCACCGACAGGATATGCAGTCAGTCTGTTCACCTTACATTTAGTACAGGTGATCATTTGCGTAACAAAAATGATTTGCAATTGCTTTTGTTTAAAGGTGATTGCATTAAGCAATGTCCACTGGAAAATTGCAAATATCGTACTATTTGTGCAGCCTGCACGTCCATAAGTAAATGCTTTAACGTGCCCTACGGTAACATACATCGTTATGAAATACAATTATTATGTTTTGAATGTGTACGTATTGTTGGAATGGCTTAATATATGTAGTGTGGGTTTCACGAGAGTGGAGACGGTCGGTTAGAGGAAACACGTTCATTAACAACTATGTTGTTGGGGGGCTCCTATGGCGCCCCCCAACAACATAGCATGTGGTTGTGCGGGGGCGCCTACGGCGCTCAACCTTGGCCACAATATCGATATAAATCGATGCATAGGTTTATGTGGTTATGGTTGTACTTTATTAATCCCTAGTCTCTGCAATTACGTAAAGGAAACAAGAAATGGTAAAAAAAGTAAAAACAGAGCAATGGAATACAATACATATTCGACATTATTGTAAAGCAAAAAAGTCCATCCCATGTGTTCATTATTTTTTTAATATTTTAGGCAGGAAATAAGTTTTCAAATTTTGACATTTTTCTGGGTTGGGACCCCCAGACACCCTGGAAGATTTGGTCCCCCCCAATGTTGACTCCATGGCGACGACCTTGGGCTACTGTGTCTGGGTGACCTAGGGGAGGCGATTCTGACCTGACCCAGCCAAGGTACAGGTCCCGACCACTGGCCCGCTCGGTCCCAGCCCTTACAAGGACGTCGGGCCCCGATAGTTCCAGGGTCGCACCACTGGCTCACTCAGACCCGGCCCTTACAATGACGGCGGTTCAGGGGAGTCCCAGGGTCCTAGCTAGCTGGTCTTCAACTGGCTGCCTCGACCCGTCCAGAGGTCCGGCTTTTATACAGCTCCGGAGGCGTGCCTGCCCCCGGCCACGCCTCCCTTCTAGAGAGAGTTCCAAGGGGGGTCCCGGGGAGATCCCAGCACACCCCGCAGCCCCCCCTTGCCTTGGAGCTGGGGAATCTAGCGGCCCCTATCCCGGTCCGAGGTATTGCCCCTGGTAGACCCCGTCTGCAACGGCAGGTCAGTAGCGCGACCCATTTAGTATATATATATGGCCCTATTTACAGCGCTACATTTAACTTCAAATGAAATTTATATATCGCTTATATCTGTAATGACTGTGATTGTCACTGTGTAGTGCCGGGCTTACGAAGCCACGGCGGATAATGTGTTAACATTGTGTAGCCGCTTATGGGGCGAAGTACCAGCCCTAGCAGGGCTTGGGTGAGCGCTGGTCAGCGCGGAGGCACCGCGAGCAGTGTGCGGTGCGGGCTCCCAGTGAGGGAGCGAGAGGGAGCGTCAGCCAGCCAGGGTGACGTTGGGGCATGATAACGCTGGTTGACCTGCTGACACGTGACCGGATAATATTGGAGGGGGGCCACCGGTGGACGGGGCCGCTGGGCGGTCACGTGGTCTAAAAGAGCTCTCGGGAGCCTTCGGGAAAGAGCTCGAGAGATCCAGAAGGTGGGCGGGGCGAGGGGTGGAGCCAGCCCAGGGGCATATAACGGGGGCCCAGTGAGGATCTCGGGATTCTTCGTGTTGCTGGTGATGAAGATCCACGTCAGGTAAAAGAAGCCTCTAGCCACGCGGTCCAGGACCCAGCTTGTGGTCCGGGCCGGGATAGCGAATCGTGTCTAGTTCTGCCGTAGCGTAGCTAGATGAGCATTCAACACCCAAGTATAGGTTGTGTTATGTTATGTTGAGTTATTGAATAGTGTTGCTCCCAAGACAACGTCTGCGACTCAGTTGGACTCACTACATATCTATGGAATAGAATGACGCATTTCCCCCTTGCAGAGCACATCGAACTCGCCCTCAGGCCATTCTGGCTTCACCACCTCGCGGTGACTGCAGTTGCTGTAACATCCACCACCACAGCGACACGAAGACGCGTTTAATATTCATTGAGAAATATCCAGTGAACTTGAGGCTGTCGTAAAGATGCGCAGACGCAAGAGGGCAGCTGTGTTAATGTGGGAGACTGCGGGCGCCCATATGACAAAGTTATATCAATGATTATGATTTCATCTGATTTAAAAACTCATGTAGTTCTGTGTTGTCGGTGGGAAATGTTATAGATTCACCTTTTGATTGCTCTTGCTGTTGGTAAGTTGTTTACTTGTAACTCTTGACTTAAAGCTTTCGTGACAGCAGGAATTCATATTCTTTGGGTCTTTGGGTAAAGCCACGTAGATAGAAAAAATTATAACATGTTATTATTTTTATATTTGGCTTTACCAAAAGACCCCCAAAAAATAGTTTACTTGTGTTCTATTCATTTTAAATTAAAATTTGTTTTCCAATCAAAAGGTCAGATAGTTGTAAAGGGTTGTTATTACTACCGCGGAGGTGAATTAACCGTAAATAAATGCGCCGGCCCCTTTCACTGGAAGGATCCCGTGAATTCGTGCACAACAATAGACCATTGGGCATTTTGGCGTCACGGTCCAAATTTGCCACGAAAAATAACTCAAATTACGTGCTTGGAATTGAAATTAACAATATCCCCCCCCCCCCCCCCATCTTACTACGAAAACTTGGCAAGACCCTCCTGAATTTGAGTCATGAGACAAGGGCTTTCCTGGGTACACCAGTGCAATAAATAAATTCGGCGTTTCGCATTTGCGGTAAAATGAACGTATGAATCACGATTGCTTTTTGTTTGTTGTCCTTCACCCACTCCGATTTGCAGTTGGTACTAATGAAGTTCAACAGTACAATCATTACTGGTTACCACACATTAAGTAAAATCGATTTTCTGCACGTAGAATGTACAGTATTGCAAATTCATGCGTTTCAACTCGGAAGCAAAGAGAGCTGCTGTTGAAACCATGGGGCAAGTTTCTTAAATAGCGTGTGGTAGGATAAAGTGTGGACACGTCCACCTCTTCCAAGACAGTCTGGTTAGTGTGAAAGAGTGAACCAAATACATTCTCTGGAGTTCCTTTCAGTGGAGGCCCCTTTCACCAGCAGTGGCGTTAGCAATTGTAGCAATTGCAGGGCAGCCACCGTTCCCTTTCAACTGCAAAGCGAGGGAAAATGTACCACTGATTGGCACGTGGTGAAAAGTCGCCACGTGCCAATCAGT